TAAGGAAACGTCATTTAAAGTTTTTTTTAAAAATTTCATATTTTTAAAATTTATAGGGTGAGGTACAGGGTGGTAAAAAGTCTGGCCCGTGTTAAAAAAAGTCTATTATAGCCAAGGATGTGTATAGTATGAAAGCTCATAACTTTTGTGACTAAATAAAGCTTCAGATCTTACGAATCTTAAAAATGGATGTAAAAGAAACAATGGTCACATATTGAAATTTGTCTTAAACAAAAAAAATAATTTTGTAAATTTTTCCGACCATTTTTTTAACATTTTTTTCAACCCTCCTTAGCACCCAAACTGCTAAAGTTAGCGGTCTATATTTTATTTCAATCAGCTGGCCTTGAAAAATTGGACTATGAAAACGTATGTAATCGAATATAATCCATAATTTGGTTTTTGGTAAATAAACATAATTCTTTCAAATTTCAGACATATTATTTACTTTTTGCAGTAAAAAACATTCCAAATTGTTTTAAGGCTCTCATAAATAGTTTTATAATTATGCAATTGGAATAAAAAATATCAGAATTTTTGAAATTAACAGAATTATAGATATTATCAGAATTATAGTCATTATCAGAATTATAGATATTATCAGAATTATAGATATCATCAGAATTATAGTTATTAACAGAATTATAGATATTATCAGAATTATAGATATTATCAGAATTATAGATATTATCAGAATTATAGATATTATCAGAATTATAGTTATTATCAGAATTAAAGAAATTATCAGAATTATAGATATTATCAGAATTATACTCATTTACAGAATTATAGATATTATCAGAATTATAGACATTATTAGAATTATAGATAATATAAGAATTATAGATATTATCAGAATTATAGATATCATCAGAATTATAGTTATTAACAGAATTATAGTTATTATCAGAATTAAAGAAATTATCAGAATTATAGATATTATCAGAATTATAAATATTATCAGAATTATAGTTATTAACATGCAGAGTTATAGATATCATCAGATTTATAGTTAGTAACTAGATGACTTATGGTTGTATAGATGACTAGGTTTCAAATATATCAAAGATGTTTTTCAGATGTTTTTCAAAACCTTATGAATTCATGAAGAAAACAATTATGTTAATCCATTAAACTAATTTTTTTTCTGGTGTTTTAAGAAAAAATGATATCTGCACCTAGAAATCCTAGGAGAAGTCCAACAGATAGAATAAGAAAAATTCCCTAAAATCGATTTCTTTCTTCGGTTAAGAATTGAATTAATGATTAAATTTAAATTTGAATATATGAATTATAATCATGAATGATTTAAATCTTTTCATGAAAAGATTTGGTTTAGAACGTTGTTTTAGAAAGTTTACTCGTAATTTTATTTAAATTAAGTTTAATAATTATTAAGAAATGATAATTAGTGAATATTGATTTCCTGCAGATCAAACAGAGAAAGTGGGCTTATTGTTTTCCTCTTTTCTTCAGTTTTTCCAGATTCAAAAAACCTCTAAAAAAATGAGGTTGTAAATTCGATTTTAAGACTAATTTATGACGTATTTCTAAACTACTATTGTTCATTAAATATATATTTATATATTTATATATGTATATAAAATAATATAATAAATATAAAATAAATATTTAATGAACAATAGTAGTTTAGAAATACGTCATAAATTAGTCTTAAAATCGAATTTACAACCTCATTTTTTTAGAGGTTTTTTGAATCTGGAAAAACTGAAGAAAAGAGGAAAACAATAAGCCCACTTTCTCTGTTTGATCTGCAGGAAATCAATATTCACTAATTATCATTTCTTAATAATTATTAAACTTAATTTAAATAAAATTACGAGTAAACTTTCTAAAACAACGTTCTAAACCAAATCTTTTCATGAAAAGATTTAAATCATTCATGATTATNAATAGAATTGCCAAGTGCTTTCAGAAATGGATATTTTATTGTTTTTTTGACATTTCTTTTGCAAACGTTTTTACTTTATAACTGGATTTTGCAAAAATAAAACCCAATTTTTACATATTTGCAATTTTTTTTTTACGGATTCTAAAAGTAGAGCACAAAAGCTTTCAAATAATGTATCGTTTGTCATACTTGAACATTGAACATGGGATTTTTGCCCCCCCCCCCCTCATATCCTGGTTTTAAGTACACCAGCAGGGATAGAGTTTAGGTAAAATGTAGCCTAAACATGTTAGGAGTTGATCGCGACCAATATTAGTTCTATCTGATGTCCCTGTCTCGAGAAATTCAAATGAAACTGGTCAAAATTATACCAAAATTTGATCTTATTATGTTTATGATATTGTATATGAATCAAAGTTTTAAACATATTATATTCAGCAAATAATGGACAAATCTAAAAATTAGGATAGCTTAAGATGCCTAAAATTCTTAGGTACGCATCCATAATAATTTGAATTTAATACTTATTCATTTTTTATAGATACAATTAATAATATAATTGTTATATCTGTATTATTTGACAAAAATTTCCGCGAATGACAGTGCAGTATCTTTTCAAGTGGCTCTGTCTGTATCAAATGACCAGAATTACCACCAATAGATGTTCAGTATCTGGTCACATGGCTTTGTTGGCCATATGTATAACTTTGTCACAGTTTTATATCAATATCTCAAGACAAGGTTGTCAGAGAAAAAAAATATTGGTAGTTTTAGACTTCAGCCTATAACCCCTTTAATTTTACCTTACTAGTCTTTTTATAACATAACTGTTGCATAATAGTGTATTAGAACTTTAGAAGTATAAGAAACCAATTTACAAAATATCTAAATGATATTTCCCTAAAGGCATGCAGATTCCAATTCGAAACGGGACAAAACACTGTCGTGAAATATGAATTGTCTTCTCCCTAAAATAAGAAACATCATTAAATTCAAAAATCAAAATCTAATTATAATTTTCATTTCACAACTCTATAACGGCTGGGGAATCTAAATCTATGCATGGGGGGGCCGGGGGGTTCTGTTTGATTACATGTATACTTAAACTGGTTTCTGTTTGTTTACATGTATTCCCAAATTATAGTTTCATTTGCTAATTTTTTTGGGAAAATGTATTAAAAAGAATCAAAATTATGAATAAAATGCTCGCCCATGAGATCAGATCTCATCTTAACTGTTTGAATTCAAATACCGGCTAAAAACCTTTCCATTAGAAGAAAAACATATGCATGATTAATTACAACGAACTTGCGGAATTGCGCAAAATTCAAATTGCAAAAAAGCGGAATAGGGCAATTTTGCACGAATGACTTTTGCGAAACTGATGCGCTATGAAAGAAAAATTTTGTGTTTTGTTCCGCAAAAATTTTGTAAATGGAAACCCTAAACTAAACGGTTTTCTGTTTGTTTATATGTACACCAGAACTGGTTTCTGTTTGTTTACATCTACACCTAAACTGGTTTCTGTATGTTTACATGTATACCAAAACTGGTTTCTGTTTGTTTAAATGTACACCTAAACTGGTTTCTGTTTGTTTACATAAATACCTAAACTGATTTTTGTTTGTTTACATGAAAACCTTAACTGGTTTCTGTTTGTTTACATTTATACCTAAACTGGTTTTTGTTTGTTTACATGTAAACCTAAACTGGTTTCTGTATGTTTACATGTATACCAAAACTGGTTTCTGTTTGTTTACATGTATACCTAAACTGATTTTTAATTGTTTACATAAAAACCTTAACTGGTTTCTGTTTGTTTACATGTATACCTAAACTGGTTTTTGTTTGTTTACATGTATACCAAAACTGGTTTTTGTTAGTTTACATGTAAACCTAAACTGGTTTTTGTTTGTTTACATGTATACCTAAACTGGTAGCTGTTTGTTTACATAAATACCCAAACTGGTTTTTGTTTGTTTACATGAAAACCTAAACTGGTTTTTGTTTGTTTACATTTATACCTAAACTGGTTTTTGTTTGTCTATATGTATACCTAAACTAGTTTCTGTTTGTTTACATGTATACCAAAACTGGTTTTTGTTTGTTTAAATGTTTACAAAAACTGGTTTTTGTTAGTTTACATGTAAATCTAAACTGGTTTTTGTTTGTTTACATGTATAACTAAACTGGTTTCTGTTTGCTTACACGCATACCTAAACTGGTTTGTATAGTTTGCAGATATGAGATATTCTAGCGCAGCTTCGCTGTTTAAAAAAGCATACCTTCCTTCAGCAACCTGAAATTTTAAATTGAGCAGTTCAAAATGTATAATAAAAATTGTTCATTTCGAAAAGAAAGTATATAAACAGAGCAGGGAGCTTAAGAATAGATAACCTTTAATTTACCGACTGCTTAATCCGAATATCCATTGTGGAAACTTTTAATTTTAGTCCTTAATCCACTCTTTTTCTCTCTTTTTGGATATACGTACATTGTTTTCTCCAATGAGAGTGCAGGAATATAGTTCGTAAATTGTATTAACCATTGACAGCCTTGAAAATAAATTTTATCTAATGAGAGACCTCCGCAATTTCTAACAAAAATTAAGGGTTTGTTGTCGGCCATTTTGTAAATTAATCAGTGAAGAAAAATATGTAATAATATGTTAGAGATTCTTTTTTAACTATTGTAAACTATTGTATTAATAAATAAATGGGTGAGAAATTAAGTGAAGGCCCTTCCAGTCAAGAAAACGAATTAAATCTGACGTTCCTAGAATCAAATTTGTTGACCTAAATAATTAATTTTGAGATTAACATAATCTCGAGATTAATTTAGTCTCGAGATTAGCAAAAAGAGAAGATTAAGCATTACTCCTGATATCCACCATTCTAAAATTCGCTGCTTAGTACACCGAATAGATAACATTCAAGACTTTACTTTGTAGGCCCTAAACCCAACCAACATAAAACATGGTAAAACGGAGGGTCACTTGAAAATACGCCTGCAGTCCCTTTAATACTAAATAAATTAGGTTAGGCTAGAACCTCCTTAAAATAAACAAATATGCAGTATGCTCTCGGTATAGTTCATAGCCTATACAATTAGTAAAGGATTAGCGTACATCACTCTATACACTATAACCTCGTTGGTATCTGCAGAATGCAAAAATTGTTCTGAATTCAAAAGTTAGAGAACATTCATTTTAGATGTTCAAAGGGTGTAAACATTGCATTGGTAATTTGGTAAAATCTTATTCTAAAGTAATTTTTGTTCGTTTCTTGTAATATTTTAACACTTATTCCAATTGTTTTCAGAATTAAATTTTACAATAAATATAGCTGTGTAGTCAAACTATATAAAATAAAGATGTATGTATCATACCATTTGATGTCCCCATTGGTTTAATTTATATCATTTAAGTAATTTCAATTTTCTATAAAACTGTTTAACAAAATGCTCATTAAGAAAAACAAATATTCTTTTGCTTTAGAACCACTAATTAGAACTAGAGGAAGGATTCCTACTGTTTCAAGAGAACTCTCATTTTTATGAAGCTACATTTTTAAGCAAAATCAAGAAAAAAGTAAATGAAAAAATATTTTTCTAATAGTATGACCAAACTTTGAAATAGAAAAAAAAGACAAAAGGGATCTTCTGCGTACTTGAAGTTGATATAAAATCAATATTTGTATCTGCAGTAGCTTGAAAATCAAGGTCTATCAATTAAAAAACTTTACAAAATTGCTTTGTTTCATGTTGGGCCATTTTGATTCCTAACTTGACTTAATTTACCAGTAAGCTGCCATTTCTCACTGTCAGATTAATGAATTAATTTTCTGTGAATTTTTAAAACAACAAGTTTGAATTTAGGTCAAAGGAACTGAGTTTTCCCACAAACTCTGGATTTTCTAATCCTGATATCATTGCAAACCAATGTCACAGATTTTAGATATTTCAAACTATTAATTCCATTAGATCAAATAATCTAAGTTTGAGATATCAATGAATTACATCATCAGGTTGCAAAAACATAGAGATTAGACAATTTGAGTATGTGGCAAAGACTCAGTTCCTTCAGATAATTTTTATTACTGACCAGTAACTATTTTGAACTATCCTATAATAAAGCTGAGTTTTAGCCAATAAATTGATAAACCTAATTGCAGAGCTCTGATTGGTTGGAATTGTTCGCGAATTTTTCTGATTCAGCTGACTTTAAATAGGGTTGTTCGAAACTATTAATTAAATTAAATTAAAGTTTCCGATTAAGAAATTTCCCGAAAAAAAGGTTTAAAATACGTTTAATACAGCAATTACCTTTGAAACTCCTTCTTCAAATGTTTTTACATTTTTAAATCCATTAAAAACTTGTTTGGACAAATCATCTGAAGAATCCTAAAAAGTATTAAAGATAAAATTTCTTAATTTTTATTTTATTTTTCAGCGGAATTAAGTTCTAACTGAATGCAAAACTTTTTGTGTTGGACACAGTGGTAGGCGGTTATATAAATACAAAAAAGACGACATTTTTATTTAAGTTTTGATTGTTAACAAGCTTTTTCGAAATACAAGTTTACAAATTGACAGCTTCTCTGGACTTATATGTTTATGTGCATCAATGCTGTTTAACAGCCTAATATAAATCTTAATTGAAATCGAAAGTCGTCTTCATTGTATTGATATAATACTCTACCACCGTAGAGCAGCTTCTAACCTTCTCACTACAGAAACGTTAAAGAAAATAGGGATTGGTGGTGCTTAATATCGAATTCTTATTCAATATATATATATATAATCGTAGCTTTGAAAGCAGTTAAAATTCACTAAGATACTAGATTTCATTAACTCAAATTTATGTGCTAATGGAAAAGTGAGGGGAAAAACGTGAATATAAATGCAGAAAAAATGAACACCCAGAGTACACGAGAAATTGAACTTTCAACCTGTTTTAAAGATGCCCATTAATAGACTAGCTAAAACCCAATTCAGGATTGTTTCTGATTCGACCAATGAGAGACTAGCTAAAACCCAAGTCAGGATTGGTTCTGATTCGACCAATGAGAGACTGCATAAAATGCTTTCTCTCAGAGACAAGGAGATGTTGCATTTCGAAAATTCGAACTTAGTTGGGCGACATCTCCAATTTAATCAAATTTAGTCCCAGAACCGGTATTCATTGGACTAGATACAGCTATGGTTTTATAGGATTATTGTCCTTATTGGAGGATTTAAGAATAAAGAATTTCTATGTTTCAGTCATCTTTAATATTTGTCCACTAAATATTAATTTCAACTGCTTAATTTCTGTATGTGGCTGGAAATCAAACACAAAAGGAATTGAGTCTTTGCCACCAACTCTGATTTTCTAATTCCTATATGTTTACAACCCAATATTTCAGACCTTAGATATTTCAAACTATAAATTCTATTTGAAAAATAATCCAAGTTTGAAGTATAAAAGATTCACACCTTCAGATTGCAAAGATATAAGGATTAGAAAAGTTGAGTTTTTGCCAAAAAGACTCATTTCCTTTCCTAGCTCTGAACTTATAATTTGAAATAATAATGGTCTACATCAAAGTGCATTGTTCGTAGTGAATAGCTGCTGAAATTTTGTATGTAGCAGGAAATCTAACACATATTTTCCTAGCTCTGAACTTCTAGTTTTGTCTACTATACATAAGATTGTATAATGCATAGATTTAAGGAATTGGAGAAATTCAGCTTATACCATGAATTAAAAGTGAAAATTTTTCAAGATTTTAAGTTTTCTCTTTCTACTTTTAAGTTAAAAAACAATATTAAAAATTTCAAAAACTCAGTAGGACTAGGACGTATCAATAAATTTAAAACTTGCAAGATTACAATTCAGAAATACTAAAAAGGATAAAAATTTTTAAAAAATTAATTAAGTTTGACCTTAAACCAGTCCGGCCAGCCCCCTGAATCCCTCACTCCCCAGCTTAATCCACTTGTTACCAACATACTGGCAAAATATAAAAAATATTTAAAAATAGAAATAAAATAAATAATTTTTGTTGTTTCTTTAGTATCTGGACTAATAGCAAAGCTTAGGAATCTTGAATTTAACCAAACATTCAAAACAAAAGTTTGCCCTCGGTAAACAAATGTAACGATGGAGTATAGAATCACTAGAACTGTGCATGTTATAACAATTGGGGTTTTCTTTCATTATAACTTAAAAATGGTTTACACTAGAACACTCAAACTTTTTCACTTTGTCAGCTTTACAGGGTGAAGGATGGTCAAACGGCTTGGTCTGTGTTAAAAAGAAAACTTTTTTATTGTTTTAAATACAGATCTAAAGTTTGTCATATATGTGTCACATGTTAATATTTTTCAAGAGTAAAAATCTAAATTTCGACATTTTTCCGACGTACTTTTTGAACTTTTTATTTTATTCTAATTTTTTTTTTAATGAGCTGGCCTTGAAAATTTTGACTGAGGCCATGTATCTCACTCCCTTATCTCAACTCTAAAGGCAAATTCATAGGGTGTCTTAGATAAGAATAATATTTTCTCTGGTCATGAAGAAACTGGTTTATTTTGTGTACTGCCCCTATTCCGGGCGCACGATACAGTTCAGCCCGGGTGTGAATACAATCAGCGATTGATAAAGATGTATTCATGTCGTTTCCGTTATTAAAATTTCAGCATAAATGCGTTGAAAATGAAAATGTTATATATTTTTAGAGAAAAATTTTTGACTCGATATTAATAAATTTGAGTTACTTGTCAGGATATTGCTAATCACATTGAGGAATGTTGTATCAGGGTTTTGCGTTACATTTTTATTTATTGTACGGGGAAGACCAAATCACATTCGATTTGTTTTGTTTTAGTTCATAAATACGAAAGGACGATTCTATCCAAAGATTGTACAACGTTCATTTTGTAAACTTAATCTTATTATATTTAAAAATAAAGATGGTCTTTCTATTTTTTGAAAATATTTATTCTTCTGTAAGAGTGATTTATTGAATATAAAGTACTTACAATATTTGAAGTGTATTTTTCAATTTAAAATATTTATTCTTTGCAATAAAGAAAACTTTATTCATTTTCTTTAAAAAATCAGTTTCTATGAAATATTTTATAAAATATTTTAAATATTAAATAACTTATTTTATTAGATTTTATTAGATTGCCAGATAAGTAGCATTTTTAATTTTTTGAAAACTGAAAAAGAAATCTTAGAGTTATCCCGTTGATTAGAAACTAAAAAGAACTGGAAAGTTCCAGGTTTCTAAAACTATAAGGGAAGAAAGTTCCAGACCGTGTTTTGTCCCAACCCTTACACTGAGTGTCAGGTTTGGGCCAAATGTGCAAAGTTATCTTTTTTACCTGCATTTATATTTTTCAATTGAAATGATAAGTAAAATTTGTCTTCATACTTTAATTTAGAATAGTGAAGGCTACATTTATAACTGAATTGATGAATAATTCTCAAATGTATTGTTACAAATGGTTTTTTTGTTTCTAAAAATCACCCAAGATTTCAATTCGTGACATGCAAAAATTAAAAACCTTCAATTGTTTCGAAAATGTTATGATTAGGAAGGAAAAAAGTCAATTCTTTTGTTGATTAAATATTTGTATTTGTCTACCAAAGACAGTAAGTTTATTCATTATCCCTGTTGTGTGGTCTAAAAAAAATGGAAGGACAAAAAGGGGTGTCAACCCCCCCCCCCCTACAAGTCAGGGCCAGGAAAATCCAGGAAATACAGAAATGTATGGGTTCTCAAGGGAAATCTCATTCAATCAATACATTTTTCAGATTAAATATCGCATTAGAAACCCGGCTTTGTTGGGTTTAAAAGGAACTAGGGTTTTAGGGCGCTTCGCGCCCAACTTCTATTTTAACTATCTTTTAATTGTGACTCTTTCTGTAAGCATCTTCTCTTTGAATAGAATAAAATAATAACAAAAAAAGTTTGCAAATTTACTCATATTTTTTTTACACATTTTCAAAATTTTACAAAAGTCAAAAACTTTTGCACACACACTTTTGTAATTTTGAGCATCCATAAACCTGCCCTGGGGTCCCACACAAAATTTAGGCCCGATCGGTTTATCCGTTTTTACGCTTATTAGATAAAAAAATAGAAGACAGACAACCAAAGTAAATATATAGAAAAACATATCTCCGATTTTTTCAAATTAATCATTAAGTTCAGGATCAGGTCAGTACAAAGGAATTGAGTCTTTACCACAAACTCAAATTTGTATTCTCTATATCCTTGCAACCTGATGGTGTAAATCTTTGATATTTCAAACTTAGATTATTTGATCCAACAGAATTAAGAGTTTGAAATATCAGTCTCAGAGATTAAATTGCAAAGATATAGGGATTCGAAAATTAGAGTTTGTGGCAAAGTCTCAATTCCTTTGGATTAACAATCAAGGCTTTCACTAAAAATAGAATCGTTGAAAGTTTAATACAAATAGAAGATGATTATTGAAAAAATAAAAATAATTCTCTCAATATTTTCAAAAATTACGTATAACTTTTTTAATTATACGATACTATACATTTCTATTCGGCGCTGTAACTGTATCTTAATCATGGTTCGTCTCTGTTTAATATTAAAAGAGGAATTTTATAAATTTTTATAAACAAAATATCAAAACATGTTTGATTTTTAAAAAATACTCTTGAAAATGATGAAATGATAATTCATGAATCATTGAAAATTTACCACAATCTTACATTTACCTGTAAGCCAAGGTGATTATGAGAACAAATCCCCAGGAGACACTAAGGAAGAGCCTAAATATATAACTTTTTTATTAAAAATATGAAAGACAAACATTTACCATTTCAATAGTTTAAAAAAAACAAAAACAATTTAAACATCATTTATATAATTTTTTAACAACAATTCGTAGTTCTATTTTTAAATTGCGCGATTAATTTTATTGTGTTGTATAAAACGTAAAAGTAAAATTATATTTGAATTTTATTTTTAGAAATCTTTGGAAAAAAGAACGCGAGCTCTTTTTTAAATATATATTACGCCTTCTTTTGAAAGTTAAAACTGCATTATAATTCACACACTTTTTTCAGAGACACCATGTATGTGACGGCCCAACTGAATATGAAATCGAATTAAGTAACAACATTACATTTACAACGAAAGGTTGAACCTTTTTCAATGTACATACATCAGAAAATTGTGGATTTTAAAATAAAGTTGTAATCTTAAAAATTGAAAACGTTTCAGGTTTTTAGGAAATAAAATTATGCTAAAAAATTTACCTAAGAGCGCCTCTTCTAGGTTTTACAGGGTCAGGTAGTTGGTTAATATTCGTAGTAAAATAGAAGAACATTAACCAGAACCCTTGGTATATGTCTTCATATATTCCTTTAGGAGATTCATCATCAAACCTAGAAATATATCTTCATATATTCCTCTAGGAGATTCATCATCAAACCTAGAAATATATCTTCATATATCCCTCTAGGAGATTCATCATCAATTCTAGAAATATATCTTCATATATCCCTCTAGGAGAGTCATCAAGAACCTAAACACATATCTTCATATATCCCTCTAGGAGAGTCATCATCAAACCTAGAAATATATCTTTATATATCCCTCTAGGAGATTCATCATAAAACCTAGAACTATATCTTCATATATCCCTCTAGGAGATTCATCATAAAACCTAGAAATATGTCTTCATATATCCCTCTAGGAGAGTCATCATCAAACCTAGAAATATATCTTCATATATTCCTCTAGGAGAGTCATCATCAAACCTAGAAATATATCTTTATATATCCCTTTAGGAGATTCATCATCAAACCTGGAAATATATCTTCATATATCAGTTGCAGCCTGCCTGCGGGAGGGTTCGGACCTCCCTTCAGTAGCTCCTGTCTCCTTAGTTAGGAGAGCCCTAGGTGGAATAAAAATGACTCACTCTATTAAAAAACAAACCTTAGAAAGATGACGAGGGAAGGAAGGATGAAGAAAAGGAAAGTTGATAGGATGAGAAGCCAAACCAACCAATGATAGGGTAGAATAAATGTAAAATAATTTGGTATCTCCTGCAAAAATATCGTTATAAAGGATCTATAGGGAATTTCATCCTCCCTGAAACTCCATTCAAAGATGCTATTACCCTTAAATCCTTTTTCTGATTAATAGTGAGAAAGATAAATATATTCTCATTTCTCTAGATTTTATTCTGAAAGTCATTATTAAAGAGAATGAAAATAAACGATTTTCCTAACTTTAAACATTGATACCTAATTAATGCGTAACCTTCTTAAAAAAATTGTGTTATCTTAAGGATCACATGAAATTTTTGTGAAAACAGCTCTAGGCTATAATAGCTCTTCTGCTGCAGTAGTTTTACATAGTTTTAATGTACTAATTTATTTTATTAATAACTGTTATGATTTAATATTACTATACAGTAAATATATGATTTGATTTGATTTAATTAATCAGACAAAGATTTTAAAGGTATCCTTGTAAATAGGGTATTCACACACCTCTGACCCTTTAGTAAAAGTAAATTCTACATAAAGTCTGACCGCATCAACCTTGTTGCACCGGCAAGTCCTATTGAGTGTCTGCTTCATTTACCCACTTAAACCGTTCAATACAGTACAAACTGGGACCAGAAAAGTTGATCCGGCTCGGAAATTCAAATGTACCACGGCTGCCCGTGTATTGCCTTCTTTTTACGGAGGGTCACTTGAAATTACACTTTACAGTCAATCCTGTTTAATTGATTTACTGCATATTTATTTAATAATTTGATGCGAGCTACCTTTGCTGCAGGTACCGCAAAACAAGCTCTATCTATATGATATGGTATAGTCATATCCATTACTTCCAATCTTTCAGGAGTTATAAAATGATTTCCAAAACCAAAATCATTTCTAAAAACAGTGGTAGTGAAAACACTCCTTCTCCTGCCCTCATTTTTGTATCCTAATATCGTTGTAAACATATTAAAATTTTAAATTATTTGGTCCTTCTCAAAAGGTTTTATGATTGTAAACAAATAATATTGACATAATGTATATTACAAATTTCAAACGTGTTTGTTTTCTTAATTGGTTTACAATAAGAGAACTAATGATTGAAAATGAATTTATATCACTAAATGCAATTTGTTTGATTTCACATTTTTCAATTATCAAAGGTCTAACAAATCAGGTTGCAATGATACAGGAATTATAAATATGATTTGTTCTTTAATAAGATTTAGATTTGAAATATTATTCTTTCTTACTGTTTGTAAACCATTTTTCCCATAACACCAGTAAAATAAGATGTCCCATTTTTTATATATTCAGATCCCCATTTCATTCGGTCCTCAGGCTCTTCGACTTCAATACTAAACAAAGAACAATTTAGTTATCTTATTTGCAATAATATATTCGTTGAAGAAAAAAATAGATAAAGCAAGGCCAAGAATGAGAGATACAAAGCCACACACTAAACTAAGCTATTGGGATAGGTAATATAGGCCTATAAAAAGCTGGACACAAAGTCTGTAAGAAGACTGTGTTTTATTGTTCAAATCAAATAAAAAACTGTTTTTATTGAGTTTGAAGTTTTTCTTACTTATTTTTTTCTTTTTCTGTAAAATACTAAATACGAGGCTTCTAATTCAATTGTGACCATTTTATCTTTGTAGACATTGTAAAATTAAAACAAACAAAAAAATTTGCAGATTTAATAAAAAAATAGTAGTTTTTCAAATTTAATCAAATCAAATTTTGTTGGAGGCAAAATATTGAAATTTTTGATCATCCATTATAAACCTTCCCGTGAGGCAACACACAAATTTCGGACCCGATCGGTGTATTGGATAAAAAAAAGCATTTTTTACATAATGATTACCTGAAATTTAATGAGTTTCCAACTTGTCGGATGATTTCAGTTTCAACTCCACCCCACTTACCAGACCTTTCTTGAATCACCTAATTTCATACAGTTTAATCCAGAACTTCGGAGAAACCGTAAGAATTTATAAATGTCGTCTTGAAAATTTATCTTTGGTTTTTATACCAATCTCAATCATTGTAAAATCAATAAATAGCGATAGATTATGCAGGAATTGTATTTAATACAGGGTGTCCCATGAAACATGACAGTATGCAAGACGACTTGAATATCGTCTTGCTTTTTGTTATTATTTGCTGCATTTATTTGTCAACCTAATTTTAGAAGTAAATTTCTAGAAATAATAATCACGAAATTCCCCTAGTCCTGTAATTTCCAAAATGTGGTCTGCATTTTTTGTGCTTTCAATATTGCCCGAGATATGAACAATTTCGTTCAGATTTCGACAATTTTGCTTTTATTTAACAAATTGAAATCTGAACCAAACTCTTTATATCTCCGGTAATATTGAAAGCACAAAAAACGCAGACCACTTTTTGGAAATGCCAGGGCTAGGAGAATTATGTGATAATTGTTTCAAGAATCATACATGTTAAAGTAGATAGAAGACTAAATGTCACAAATAAATTCAAATATCAAAGACGACTTTCAAGTCGTCTTGCTATTGTCATGTTTCGTGGGACACCCTGTAGCTCCGTAAAATTATTGAATTAAAATTCGAAAAATCTGCAGCATTTCATTATCGTTAAGTTCAGAAAACAACATCTTGCAAATTCTTTCGATGTCTCAGAAGTTCTAGGTTAAACTCAGGGGGGCTGGAACCTAGCTACCTGGTTATGCATTAGCCAATGTGTGTTATTTAGACAGTTTACTTATAAAGGATATAAAGAGATAATGGCCTATTCATACAGTACAAACATCAAATATGCAGTACGCTTTTGTTCTACAAGTGTATGCGACTTTCGGACCCACAAGGGATGAGACTTTATAGACGACTGTACAAAATTTATGCAGACAGCTGGAAACTTGTTTTTTTTTCGCTACCAAATTATTTAGTACGAGCATTTAAAGACCATCTTTATAAAAAATAGATTTCATCAAAGTGTTATCCTTTTTGGTTCAGCCCGTAGCATGCAAGTTATAACTTCGGGGAACTCCCGCATTTTTGCGCTTAATTTTTTTCAAAATTTTTTTTGTGTTATTTTAGCTTTATGCTTTCTTGTTTTATTATAGATTGGTCTTTAGGTGTTTTCCAGACACAATCTCCTTGGCCGATACTCATAAGTCTTGTTTATATGGTGACCAAAAAAATAATGGGTTCCGATGAATTATCGGGGAGATTGGGAATATAGGCGCGGAGCTCCATTTATGATTATTTTCAACTATTTTACCTCTCTAAACTCTAAAATCTTTACCTTAGGAGGATAATGAAAAGCTGCAACCTTGAATCTGAATCCGTCAAAATCCTTCATTTTTTCCGGAAATATTCGTCCTTGTAATCCGATTTCTTTTATCAATGCATGATTATAGTACATTTTTCCATTTATAAAACTTCCTAAAAGTGAACAAATTAGAAAATCTTTGGAACCTCAGGACCAATTCTGAACCAATACAAATAGTATGGCGGTAACATCTATCTTTCTATCTATCTCATAATCTCATAGAGTTATGATTCCTTTAATCGGCGCTATCAGAAAATGGAAATACTTACTTCTACTGAAACTATAGTGATAATATGTAGGTTTAATCGTGTTAAAAAAATGCATAATGAAATGCTATTTCTGAAAAATAAAGAAATGCAACGTTCGGAAAGAGTTGCCCGTAAGAGTTTATTAAGATAAGAGACCGATTAGAGGCTGATTAGAGGCCGATTAGAGGCTGATTAGAGGCTGATTACTTCATATTTTTTATGCATATTAAATAATCGGCAATTTACGGCAATAAGTGAATTTACCTAGTTTTATTGTTTTTGTTTTTCTTCCCTTCGTATAATATAGGTTTGTATAGAGTTCAATAATACCTTTCCTAAAATATTCGGATAGAGTTCAACAATCCCTTTCCTAAAATATTTGGATAGAGTTCAACAATCCCTTTCCTAAAATATTTCTTCATGGTTAAACAATCCCATTCCTAAAATATTTGGATAGAGTTCAACAATTTCTTTCCTAAAATATTTGTTCATGGTTAAAAAATCCCATTCCTAAAATATTTGGATAGAGTTCAACCATCGCTTTCCTTTAATATTTGGATAGAGTTCAACAATCCCATTCCTAAAATATTTGGATAGAGTTCAACAATTTCTTTCCTAAAATATTTGTTCATGGTTAAACAATCCCATTCCTAAAATATTTGGATAGAGTTCAACCATCGCTTTCCTTTAATATTTGGATAGAGTTCAACAATCCCTTTCCTTAAATATTTGGATAGAGTTCAACAATCCCTTTCCCTGTCCACACTGAGGTTGGGCTCGATCGGTTCAGCGGTTTAAACGTTTATCGGTAACAAACAAACAAAAAGACAGACACCCAACCAAATTATATTTATATAGGTAAATCAATTTTATGTTAGGAATATAAAAAACCTGAACACAATTTGTTTTGTCTGACTCAGACTGATTTGTTTTTCTCCCGTAAGGGTTCAGAGGAAACAGAGGAAAATAAGAATATCAGGAAAAAACACAATTTTCTATTATTCTTTATGATTTGACCTCATTTTTCAGAGATAATTACATTTTTGTATTATATGTGCTTTATTCTACAAAGTTAAAAAATATTGTTGATTTTTTTGCACATCAGTTGTTAAAAACAATTGTAGTTTACATTTTTTAATACGGAACCTATTGGTCCCGGGTTGCGATCCTAAACCTTTAGGTTCCTACTTTGGGTTGCGAAAGTTTCATTGTGATTAATATCTAGTGACATCAATTTAAAGAATTACATATAAGCCTTGCCGATATATGTAATAACGTCTTTAATGTAAATAATCTGACCAACCACAAATATGAAGAAACATAGAGAAGAAGAAACATAAAGAAGAAGAAACAAAGAGATAAAGAAACATAGAGATAAAGAAACATAGAGATGAAGAAACATAGAGATAAAGAAACATAGAGATAAAGAAACATAGAGATAAAGAAACATAGAAATAAAGAAACACAGAGATAAGTAAACATAGAGATAAAGAAACTTAGAGATAAAGAAACATAGAGATAAAGAAACATAGAGAATAAGAAACATAGAGAATAAGAAGCAAAGAGAAGAAGAAACATAGAGATAAAGAAACATAGAGAATAAGAAACATAGAGAATAAGAAACATAGAGAAGAAGAAACATAGAGATAAAGAAACATAGAGAAAAATAAACGTAGAGATAAAGAAACATAGAGATAAAGAAACATAAAGATAAAGACACATAGAGAGAGTTAAAGAAACATAAAGATAAAGAAATATAGAAATAAAGCAACATAGAGATAAAGAAATATAGAGAAAAGAAACATAGATAAGAAGAAACATAGAGATAAAGAAACATAGAAATAAAGCAACATAGAGATAAAGAAATATAGAGATAAAGAAACATAGAGAAGAAGAAACATAGAGATAAAGCAACTTGGAGATAAAGAAAAGAAAAATAATATTAAAGGCAGTGAGCAAAGTTTCAGCTAGTCTATGAACTCAAAATTTATAAATTTAAAAATCGCCTTTATTCAGCAAAAATATTAAAAAAGGCTTTGCCAGAAGCTTTGATTTTCTAATATCTATATCTGTACAACCCGATACCATGTAGTTCTTGGATATTTTAAACCATGAATTAATTGAAATATTTAAATAGATTTAAATATTTTAAAAAATTTAATTTCCGGCAAGAACTCAATTCCGTTTTAAAATTAAGAATAAAAATAGGCTTACTCATAGTTTCCAACTGTGAACTGTGTTTTCGCAGAAATAACAGGGTTTCTAAAAAAAATATGTGAACTAAAAAGTGTGAAACTGAAAAAAAAACTTATATAGCTTGGTCGGTTTGTTTTATAACCTTAAAAATGCCTGATGCATTATATAACCGTGTATAACCTTTAAAGACTGTCTTGTTTCCTAAATTGCTTGAACAAAATGCTTAAACTTTAACTGGAAAATGTTTGAACTTTAACCTAGAAATGGCTTGAACTTTATCCAAGAAAATGCTTAAACTTTAACCTGAAAAATTGTTTGCACTTTAACCTGGAAAATGTTTAAACTTTAACATTGAAAATGCTTTAAAATTAACCAGAAAACAGTTTGAACTTTAACCAGGAAAATTCTTTAACTTTAATCTGGAAAATTCTTGAACTTTAACCTGGAAAATGCTTGAACTTTACCTGAAAAATTCTTGAACTTCTGATTGATCTTCTTGAAAAACTGCTAGGACGGATTCAGAAGGAAGAATGATATTAGTCTTGGCACTTAGAAACTATGATGAAAAAAGATTAAAGGGATTGTAACTGAAATTTCAAGGAATCCTTCATCTTTAGAATTGGCTTGTCTGAATCACAATGGTACTCTATAAATCTTTGCTTTATTAAGGATGAATAATATATTCTTGTTTCTCTTGCTAAAAATTGCATTGTTTTAAATGAGGTTTCTGTATACAACTAAATGTAAACAATAGGAAGACATTTGGGGGTAGTTCGATCACATATGTACACTAATAAACACATCAATTTTCTCATTCACTTTGCCCACAGTTTTTAGTAAGCAAAACTTGAATTTCTCTGCAACTGACGATCAGACGAAGGTTTCATTCAAGGAGAATTGAACAGAAGGAGGGGGCGATAGGTTTTCCGTTCACTTTGCTGTGACGTTTTTGGACTGCTGAAGAACTAGTTTTTGCGTAACAACAATAATAAAGATTGTAAACAATGACACAAATAATAAACAGACATCTGGCGCATCTCTGGCGTTAGATGAAGATTCACCGTATACTAACTCAAGTTTGTTTACATTAGATCGATTGCCTTTGCTATTGTTGTTACGCAAAAACTAGTTCTTCAGCAGTCCATAAACGTCACAGCAAAGTGTACGGAAATCCTATCGCCCCCTCCTTGTATTCAATTCTCCTTGGTTTCAATGGTACCATTGGAAATCGGACATGCCAGTCTTTAGATTTAGGGTCAATCGAAACTACTTCAATCCTAAAAAGGCAGGGGGGGGGGTGTAGGGCTCTATTTTTTTTTGCTCTGGCCCCATCACTTTAAGTGTTACTTGTATGACTTTTATTCTGAGGTCTGCTTCAAGGGGGGGGGGGGGGGAGATTAATATCCAAGTTGTATTAAACGCAAACAAGTTTTTAATTAGAAGCCATTTAATTTAATCTAATTTAATCTGCAGCTGAGCGTTTTTTTGTAAACATATTAATCATACCTCAAGAATATGCCAGGGCTTCATCATTAATAAATACATCTTCTTCTACAGAAAATAATCAGATGAGATTAATTTTCTGTTTGAAATATAAACATGTGATTCCTTCTTAAAGAGACCGTAAACGTCATTTAATGGACTTAAGCTGTTTCTGATCAAGAACACAGAACACAGTACAGTTGTTCCTCGTAATTAACCGTTTATCTTGCAGAACACAACAGATGTTCCTCGTAATTAACCGTTTATCTTGCAGAACACAACAGTTGTTCCTCGTAATTAACCGTTTATCCTGCAGAACACAGAACAGTTGTTCCTCGTAATTAACCATTTATCTTGCAAAACACAATACAGTTGTTCAGCGTAATTAACGTTTATCTTACAGAACACAGTACAGTTGTTCCTCGTAATAAACTTTATCTTGCAGAACACAGTACAGGTGTTCCTAGTAATTAACCGTTTATCTTGCAGAAAAGAGTACAGTAGCTCCTTGTAATTAACCGTTTATTTTGCAGAACAGAGTACAGTTGCTCCTTGTAATTAACCGTTTATCTTGCAGAACACAGAACAGTTGTTCCTTGTAATTAACCGTTTATCTTGCAGAACACAATTAATTATCATTAATCATTTATCTTTCAGAAATGTTACAAAACACAGTACAGTTGTTCATTGTAATTAACCGTTTATCTTGCAGAAATGTTACAGAACATCATAGCATGTATAACAAAAAAAATCCGTTTACATAAAAAATAAATATAACATACTATTAGGACCATCGAAGTAAGCGCTAATTCCTAACAAAAAAGATTTTGAATTCGTTTCTTAATTCCCATATGTATTGGGATATTCTACAATTTTACTAGAAGCGGTTCATTCATTTGGCGTACATGTCCCGGTTCATCTTAGTCTGTAAATTGAACTGTACAGCTTACTATAACTTTTGAAAATTCGGCCCGAATACTTGAAAAGAACAGGAGTTTAAAGGGAGTGTTCACGAAAAATGAAAGTGGCTATAGGTGTAATGCGATAAAAAAGCGCTTTTGACCGCTACTAATCTTACTTCTAGCTGTTGCGTCTATAAGGCGAAAATTGTTAAAAACGACTCACACCGAAGAACGTAGTGTCCATATAAATTCAGAAAGATGCAACATACGACTTAGACCGTAAAAAAATCTATTTAATTTCAAACAAATCATTCAGATATTACAACCTATAGTCATCGATTATCTTTCGCCACATTTGTATATAGTTGATTTTTCATAATATGTTTTGATTTTATTTTTTTAAATAATATTTAGCTTACAACTTGTTTTCGAACATTCCTAGAAAATATTAAAATGTCGTCTTCATTACCAAAAATCCTCGAAACAGGAATAAATGTTTTTCATAAGTAACTCTCAGATCATAACAATTAAAACATTTTATGAAAAATCAACTATATATAAATGTGGCGAAAGATAATCGATGACTATAGGTTGTAATATCTGAATGATTTGTTTGAAATTAAATAGATTTTTTTACGGTCTAAGTCGTATGTTGCATCTTTCTGAATTTATATGGACACTTAAGTTCTTCGGTATTTGTCGTTTTTAACAATTTTCTCCTTATAGACGCAACAGATAGAAGTAAGATTAGTAGCGGCCAAAAGCGCTTTTTTATCGCATTAAGCCTATACCCCCTTTAATTTTTCGCGAACACTCCCTTTAAAGTGTGCAATAAAATGCATCCACTCTCGTGGATCGCAAACTTGCTTGCGCATTCCGCTTTTGCCCGAAATTCCGCATTTTTAATTTTGCGGAATGATTTTGATTATTTTCCCTTCTCTTTGAATTTTTTAAGAATTTTATCTGGCATAGTTTGAACCAAGCTTGTATTGGTGTTGGTTTGATTTGGTTTGGTTGAGTTCGGTTTGGTTTGGCTTGTATAGGATATTCTAAGAATATTTTCCAAGTTTGTGTTCAAAACACATTCCTAAACAAATATTTTTAAAAGTATTTTATGAGGAAAGATAATTAAAAGTGTTGAATATTTTTATTATTGTTTGGTGCAATAACTGATTCGGTTTATTTGAACTTTTAAGCTTTTTGGACTTTAAACTTTGCAAATAAAAACTTATAACAATATTTTTGGTTTTTGCACATTTATCTTCTCTCGAGGTCAACATTTAGCACAGTGAGAGAAGAGTAAGTGTTTAGAATAAACAGTTTTAAGATTTATAAAATTCTCAGATTTTTGTTGAACTTGTTAAAAGTCCTAAAACTTAAAAAGTAAAAAAAAAATCATAGCCTTTTCTTTACTTAGAATCAAATTAGAAATTATGAACATTTGTTGGCAACAAAAGTTGTAAGGCTCTTAAAAAATGGACAAAAAATCACTAATATTCAACAAAAACGCTTATTATTTAGCAGTCATCCAACTTTTGCTGCCTAAAAGTGATATTCTTTTGCAAAGAGCATTGCAGAAAGTTTTCTGGATTTTTCATATTTTCTTATTAATATGCAGTTGCCTCTTCGTTGTTGGTTATGAATACAACCATTCCATCGTTTAGCTCTGTTTCTCTAGAATGAAATTAAAAGAATTAAATAGAATTAATCTAAATATATTTTTCCACAAAATATTATACCAAAAAGAGTGCTCTTTAGATTTATCATTACATTTGTGTAATAAAGAAAATAAATGATTTTTCGTAGTGCTGTGCTTTGTATAGAAAAATAACAACGATACAGGTGTTACAAACGGGGAAAGGCAGGCAGCCATAAGCCACAAAATGCTCCCTTTCCATTCCACTTATTTTATTTTTGAGCCACAACCCAAAAGTCTTCCATGCCACATCATGGCAAATTCCGGCAAATTTAGGGCATTGAAATCGCATTTTTTTTGTTCCTGCCGTATCACGCAAAATATCATACCTTCATACATTTTAGAAGTTTATTTTAATCAATGAATTGGGTGTTCAGGTTATTAACCCTATCCCTGCTGGGCTACTTAAAAACCAGGATATGCTGGGGGAGGGGTCAATTTGACCCCCCCCCCTCTAAATCCCATGTTTGATGTCAAAATATGACAAATGATACATCATTAGAAAGCTCTTGTGCTCTACTTTTAGAATCTGCAAAAAAATTTCCAAATTTGCAAAAATTGATTTTTTTATTGCAAAATCCAGTTATATAGTAAAAATGTTTGCAAAAAAAAATTGTCCAAAAAATAAAAAAATTATACATTTTTGAAAAGCCCTTGACCATGCCATTTCAAATATGCAAAAAGTTTTGCAAAATTTTAAATAACCCGATATTTAATCAAGAAAAACTAAAAATGTGCAAATTTTCTTTGACAGGTTGTTTGCAAAAAATTTGCAATTTTTTTCGCAAAATTGTGCAATCCGTTTCCTTATGTCATAGGCTTTCCAAAAAGCTCAATTTTATCAAAATCTGACAAGTGAAAGTGGGTCAAAACAAAGATTTAGTTTGTTACAGGCAAAAGCAGTCATTCAGGCAGTGTGCAGGCCTAAATGGAGGGCTTTGGGTATGTAAGAAAAGTCAGAAAATTTCAACAGCCTCAGACCAATACTTTTTGAGTTATGTAAAAAAAACTACAGGGGGGAGGGTCAAATTGACCCCCCCCCAAACAGGAATAGGGTTAACTGGTTTGCATTATACAAAGAAAATGTTACGTCATTTAACGTATTGTGAGCACTGAGACTAATTGTTTTGGGTAGTCTAAAGAAAAAGAAAAGATGAGAAAAATCAAAATATTAACGTTGCAGATTTCCTCAAAACAATTCTATTTTGCAATTTTCTTGTTAAATAGTGCACATTTTTGGTTATGGGCACCTTTTGAACTATGGTGCATACTTTTTTCTATTCATAATGTTTTCAAAAATAAACCATTTTAGAGGAAAGATTGAATTTATTTTTGGGGAAAATAAGTTTACCAGTTTACATTAAAGGAATCGTCATTATTTCAACTTATAACTTAAATATAAACTCTTAATATATTTTTGAAAATCACAATTTCAATGCACTCAATCATTGTTTATAAACGTAGTAACTGCCAGAAGACTAAAATGCTGTGGCATGGAAGACCGTACGGTTGTCGCTCATAGTTGCATGGTTGACAAAAATACTAATATGTGGCATGGACGGGGAAAATAGTGTGGCCTTTTGCCGCCTGCCTCCTCTCGGTCGTTTGACCCAGAAAAGATGAGACTTTAATCATGACCATCATGACCAGAAACTGTTAAAACTAAAAATTCTAATAAGATTTACTGTCTTGTATGTATTCTGTTAATGGCGTATTAGAAAGTAACAAGACAATAGCTGCAGGATATAATTATATGTATAAAAGAAGGCTAAATAAGTTCTTTACAGTCGTCTCTGAAGTCACATTCGTTGTGGGTTACCCTGTAAAAAGTAATATTTGAAAAACAAACTGGAAAAAATATAAAATCATTAACCCTATCTCTGCTGGGGTACTTGAAAACCAGGATTTGCTGGGTGGGGGTCAATTTGACCCCCCCTCCTCTAAATCTAATGTTTGATGTCCAAATATGACAAATGATACATCATTGGAAAGCTCTTGTGCTCTACTTTTAGAGTCTGCAAAAAAATTGCAAATTTGCAAAATTGAATTTTTCATATATAGTAATATAGTTAATAGGATAAATGTTTGCAAAATAAAAATTTGTCCAAAAAAAGAAAAAATATTATATTTTTGAAAAGCCCTTGCCATTTCAAATATGCAAAAAATTTAGCAAAATTTTAAATAACCTGATTTTTAATCAAGAAAAACTAACAATGTGCAAATTTCCTTTGACAGGTTGTTTGCAAAAAAATTGCAATTTTTTCGCAAAACTTGTGCAATTCCCCCCCCAGTCTGTTTAAGGTTACTTACGATGAAAAATGTTGTGACTAATAATCAAGAAAAAAATTTAATTTTGGAATTGAATTTTTTTGTTAAACTTTGTTTGTCTACCTAAAATATTCTACAAACTGCTCCGTGATCCTTCAAATAAAAAAATAGGTCATTTTTTAGTTTATGTATTTTGATCAGAGCAAGAAAGGTATTATTATAATAAATAATCTTACAATCTTACAATCTTGCAATCTTACAATCTTGCAATCTTACAATCTTACAATCTTTACAATCTTACAATCTTGCAATCTTACAATCTTACAATCTTACAATCATGCAATCTTACAATCTTACAATCTTACAATCTTACAATCTTACAATCTTACAATCTTGCAATCTTACAATCTTACAATCTTACAATCTTACAATCTTACAATCTTACAATCTTACAATCTTACAATCTTACAACCTCGCAATCTTACAATCTTACAATCTTACAATCTTACAATCTTACAATCTTACAACCTCACAATCTTACAATCTTACAATCTTACAATAGATTTTACATATGGTTAGTTTTAGACAGTTTTTTATATTTCAGATTTCACATAAATTGCAGACATCAATCAAATGTAAATATTTCCACAAAAATTGTGCGTAAATCGACTTAGAAACACGTATCACCTTTGATATTCACAGCATTCAAATAGAAGCAAACGAGTTGAAAATAGAACTAGAATTGCCAAAAACATCATTTTCAAGATTGATATGTCAGATGTTAATCATTCTGGAAAAATAAATCGCCATGTTATTTTCTACAAAAATATGATGTTCTGAGTTTGGTTTATGTTGAGGGATTGATTGAATGTTAAATATTGAAAGGTTTATATTGATATTCTTGTAATAAATATTATATTAGAAGTAGAACATTTTTATAACATTGTCTGAACAATTTAATTGAGACATAAGCACATGCCATAAAAACCCTAGTTTTCTATTTTTATATATATTTTTTTTTATATTTTTGCAGGCTGATTTTTTTTTTAAAAATATGTAAGATTTTAAAATTTTGGCTATTTTTTATCTTATTTTCAACTCTTTAACACTTATTAAATTGTTTAACAATAAATCTGCGTTTTTTCTTTAAGTTTTATAAAAAAAATTTTACCTGCTAACATTGCTTTCTTCGTACATTTCAAAATATATATTTATGCAGATTCTTCACTGTTTTTGTTAGGGATTTTACATAATCCTTAGAATATGATTTTTTTAATTTTTGAGGAAAAGTTGTTGTTCTGAGCATGTATACAAAACATATCTTAACGTACTCATGTCAGCATAAAATTCAAACAATAAGTATACTAAAGTATAACTTTAAATTTTGTGTCCGTCTCCAATATTATCTTGACTTCGAAGTTCAACTGGAGTGTGTTTTTAAATATTAATATATGCATAAAGAGAATTCCAATGCATGAAGGGGTGTACACAGGTATCTTTCCGTAGGGAAGGGGGGGGGACATTTTTTCAGGTATGAGGGGTGGTGTCTTCCATATGGTCCTAAAATCTCTTGAAAACTACAATATGATAACTATTTAGTTAACTAAAAATGAAGATATTTATAGAAATTTTAATAGATCATAAACGTATTATATGTAGTAAAACTTTGTTGTGACAAATTCACAAAATTTGCTAAATATTTTCGACACTTTCGGTATTTTGTCATTTACTAGCTACCTCTGGATTTATATTACGCGGAATATGGAATACCATATGAGACAGGAATCGAGTTGTTCCACGTAACTCATTATATGTTTTAATACAAGTTTTGCTGACAATTCTTTATTTTAAAATGACGGCCAAGGGATGCAAAAACATTTTACAAGATTTAGTTTATTTTTTTATTTAAAAACTTAGGAATTGTATTCAATAATTAAACATTAGTCTGGTTTATTTATTTTTTTATTTAAAAACGTATTATTTGATAGGAAAAAAATTTAAAAATCATATTTTAAAAATATGATGACATTTAAAAACGTTCTTTACGATATGAGTGAGCGGTCTGCAAACATTTATCTGATTTTAAGAACTGGGCTGACTTTCAGGCAGCTTAGTCAAACTGTACAATTAACACGCAGATAGTGTACGGCAAAATGGTACAGTTCACTGTTACTTAACTTAGAATCTTATAACCAAGCTAAGAACATTCCCCTGGTTCCTGATCGGACAACCAAACAAACAGATTCACAGATATTGTTACTTCAAATATAGATGCATGGTGATGTGGGGGAATGAATCGATTTTTGGTCCATGTTATTCCATACTCTCTTCACACGATGCATTAATGATAAATCAGGAAACATTTTTTCCGGCATTTTCACAAAACTACATAAATTCAGTGTTTTTACTGCAGACAAAATTACTTCCAAAGCATAATATGTCGAAATATTACAAGTGATCTTTTTTGTAAATCTTTGAAGTGTAAGGAATTGGGTGGTTACCAGGAAGTTTTAGCCTAAACCTCGAATTCAACTAGTTTACATAGACTATAAACATAGACATAGACTATGGTAGATAGGAATTAGCTGTGTTGAGTTGAGACTCTGATAGTTTTGCATCTTTTTTTGAAGATTAGAGTTTGAGGCAATTCCTGTTTTGAAGATAAACTGAGTTTTGTTCACTACTGAAGTTTATTAGAGTTGCCTTAATTGAGATATTCTGGTTGGTCTTCAGCTCATTTATAGATAAAGGGACTACTCCTAAGTTTAGAGGAGGTAGATTATTTTAAAAGATTTTTTAAATCTACGTAAAGGAAAGGTCAAAAGTCTTTTGGCAAAAACTTTAAAATCAAACATACGTACACAACTTTCAATAAGTAATTGTCTAATATTTAATATATTTGCAAATGATTCTATGTGCAAAATCTATTTTATAGTAGGATAGTTTTTCCTTTATTAACTCTATTCCTGCTGGGGGGGGGGGGGGATTCCGTTTGACCCCCCCTGTAGTTTTTTTTTACATAACTCAAAAAGTATTGGTCTGAGGCTGTTGAAATTTTCTGACTTTTCTTACACACCCAAAGCCCTCCCTTTAGGCCTAAAACCGGGCTTAAATACTAACTGCCTGAGTCCTCAGGCACACTGCCTGAATGACTGCTTTTTGCCTGTACCAAACTAAATCTTTGTTTTGACCCACTTTCACTTGTCAGATTTTGATAAAATTTATCTTTTTGGAAAGCCTATGACATAAGAAAACGGATTGCACAAGTTTTGCGAAAAAAATTGCAAATATTTTGCAAACAACTTGTCAAATGAAATTTGCACATTTTTAGTTTTTCTTGATTAAAAATCAGGTTATTTAAAATTTTGCAAAACTTTTTGCATATTTGTAATGGCATGGTCAAGGGCTTTTCAAAAATGTATAATTTTTCATTTTTTGGACAATTTTTTTTGCAAACATTTTTACTATGTAACTGAATTTTGCGATAAAAAATTCAATTTTTGCAAATTTTCAAATTTTTTGCAGATTCTAAAATTAGAGCACCAGAGCTTTCTAATGATGTATCATTTGTCATATTTGGACATAAAACATGGGATTTAGAGGGGGGGGGTCAAATTGACCCCCCCCCCCAGCATATCCTTGTTTTAATTACCCCAGCAGGGATAGGGTTAATAATCGAAGGTTTAATTAGAAGGTATTTTTCGCCTAGATAAATTCATTAATTTTTCTTTACAAAATTTTTTAAGTTGCTAAGGTGGCTTCACATTTCCTTTTTGAACAGCGCCAATTTTCAATTTTTTTACTACCAAGTCCATTGGAGATATATGAGAAATGTTGATTATCAATTATGGCTGGTCTGCCTCGTTTGGTTTTCCCTGCCTGAATTAAAGACGTTATTGTCAACATCATGAATGTCAAAACCAAACTAAATGATTTGTACTTTCAAAAAAAAAATTGTCAAATTTTGTCAGTAAAAATTGCGTATTTGTTTGTTCCAATAACTGGTTAAATATTATTTGAAGAATTTTAATCTAGGCGAAAATTACTCTCCAATGTTATCTAGGCAAAATGTTATCTAGGCGAAATGTTATCTAGGCGAAATGTTGTCTAGACAAACTGTGTCTAGGCAAAATGTTATCTAGGTAAAATGTTGTCTAGACAAATTGTGTCTTGGCAAAATTTTATCTAGGCGAAATGTTATCTAGGCGAAATCTTGTTTATACAAACTGTGTCTAGGAAAAATTTTATCTAGGCATAATGTTGTCTAGGCAAAATGTTATCTAGGCGAAATCTTGTCTAGACAAACTGTGTCCAGGCAAAATGTTTTCAAGGCAAAATGTTGTCTATTGCGAACTTGAACTAGGCGAACATGTTCCTCGTCCCAGAGGGAGGGCGGCCGCCCTCCCCTAGCAACTAAGAGGGAGGGGCGCCGACCCCTTCCTCTGCAATTTTTAAATAAAGAACGTTAATATCAATATCATAGGAAATTGAAGTAAGAGAACCTTTTCTAAGTGAACCAACCATTATTTGAGCGGCGGCTTAAATTTGAGCCGCCCCTCAAATTCTTTAAATTCGGCCTCAGGATATCAAAGTAAACAAAGTCAACAAAACTCATTAAACACAACTTTTCCTATATTTATTTTACTATTTACATATTATCTATTTAGTTTATAAACTCATTTATTTACACATTTACTCAGAGTCACTGGGTTTTTCATATTATGTACAAAGTAATTAATTTATCAATTATCTGAGAACATATTTACGAGGCGAGGTTTTCACACATTCTTTAATCAGCAGGGTTTTTGAAGGAAAAAAAAACAATGTTCTTTACAATATCACAGCGGTTGGTCAAATATATTCATAAAATGTATAAAATATATAAAATGTATAAAATGTATAAAAATTTAGTTATTCATATTTTAAAAACATTTTTTTCTTTAAGCATATTGGAAACCACTTGTTTCCTAGTTACAATTTGATTGTATTTTACCCTGTTGCCTAGATAGAATTTAGTCGTAACACCTCCTGTTTCCTAGCTAGAATTCAGCTGTAACATCTCCTGTTAACTAGCTAGAATTCAGCTGTAACATCTCCTGTTAACTAGCTAGAATTCAGCTGTAACATCTCCTGTTAACTAGCTAGAATTCAGCTGTAATATCTCCTGTTTACTAGCTAGAATTCAGCTGTAACATCAACTGTTTCCTAACTATAATTCACCTGTTTCCCAGCTACAAATCATCTATAACATCTCCTGTAACCTAACTAGAATTTAGCTGTATCATCTCCTGTTTCCTAACTAGAATTTAGTTGTAGTATCTCCTGTTTCTCGGCTACAATTCAATTGTACTATACCCTGTTTCCTAGCTGCAATTCAGCTGTAACATCCCCTGTTCCTAGCTAGAATTTAGTTGTTGTATCTCCTGTTTCCGAGCTAAAATTTATTTGTAGTATCTCCTGTTTCCATGCTAAAATTCAGTGTTCTGACTGTTTCCTGGCCACAATTCAGATGTAGTTTCTCCTGTTTCCTAGCTACAATTCAGATGTAGATTCTCCTGTTTCCTAGCTACAATTCAGATGTAGTATCTCCTGTTTCCTAGCTACAATTCAGATGTAGTATCTCCTGTTTCCTAGCTACAATTCAGATGTAGTATCTCCTGTTTCCTAGCTACAACTCTGTTGTAGCATCTCCGTTTTCTTGGTCCAGAAGAGGCAGAACATTCCTGAAAGTTTAAAGGTTCATTTTTTAAATGAAAAAGGTAACAAGATGATAAATGTTGATATCTGGCCCCTTTACAGAATATATCAATTCATGATGAATATAATTATGCTTTAACCCTATTCCTTCGTATCCTGGTTTTCAAGTACCCCAGCAGGGATAGGGTTAAACAACAAATGACACCCTGAGGATTTAGCTGCAAAATGTGCTCTCATGTATGTTCATCATAAGTGTACCCAATATATATTTTTGAATCCCTCATCTTGCAAGCAAAAAGGAGGGATATAACTGTTTGTATTGTCGTGGATAAAAGCTACCTTGAGTTAGAGAGGTGTGTGAAGACTGTATTCCTTCTGGAACCTTCTAGCTCTTCAATTCGTTCCAGACTGGTTCCCTAATTATAGAAATCACACCGTTTTAAATATATTTATTAATCAGTCATCGTAGTACTATGCTCAACAATCTTTTACAAGGAAATTACTGCTTTCCCTATTACTTTAAATACATTTAAGATTTTAACTGACTGAGACCTGAAGATGTACTTAATGAAGGTGTGCTTGGTGATGAACCTCCTCCAACTGACCTGAGATCTGAAGATGTACTTGACAAAGGTGTGCTTGGTGATGAACCTCCTCTAACTGACCTGAGATCTGAAGATGTACTTGATAAAGGTGTGTTCGGTGATGAACCTCCTCTAACCGACCTGAGATCTGAAGATGTACTTGACGAAGGTGTGCTCAACCATGAACCTCCTCTAACTGACCTGAGATCTGAAGATGTACTTGACGAAGATATGCTCGGTACCTCTAACTGACCTGAGATCTGAAGATGTACTTGACGAAGGTGTGCGCGGTGATGAACCTTCTCTAACTGACCTCTTGACGAAGGTGTGCTCGGTAATGAGCCAACTTTAACTGACCTGAGATCTCAAGATGTACTTGACGAAGGTGTGCTCGGTGATGAACCTCTTCTAACTGACCTAATACTCAAGATGTACTTGACAAAGGTGTGCTCAGTCATGATCATCCTCTAACTGACCTGAGATCTGAAGATGTACTTGACGAAGGTGTGCCGGTGATGAACCTCCTCTAACTTACCTGAGATCTGAAGATGTACTTGACGAAGGTGTGTTCGGTGATGAACCTCCTCTGCTTGATGAAGTAGACAAGGGCTGTGAAGGAACCATTCAACGTTGTCAAGAAGTTGGACATACTGCTGATTTTAGCTGAAAATAAAAAAAAACTATATTCTCAAGCTCTTTGCTTAATCATTTGTTCAATAAAATCATTCTTTCAGTAAAAAATGATATTTTTTTAAATCGTTCATTCGGTAAAGACCTATTTTTAAAAATTTTGTTCTACTAATTGTTCGTTCAGTAAAAAAAATCTTTCGTTTATTTAAAAAACAATTTTATTGTTAAGTTCGTTAGAAGAATTTTATCATTTTTTAATTTCTCTGAACGATCCATTTTGTTCGTCCATTGTTCGTTTATTTTCTGAAGGACACCCTTTTTCACGAAATATTTCGTTAAAAGAAAACGATGCCCGTCTCTAACCATGGGTACCCTTAGGTCGACATAGGCTTCAATGAATCGATTGTTGCGATAAAACAAAAAATAATTATTTAATTCCTAGTAAACGGGGGGAAGTAACAATGACCAGAAAATAATAATGATTATGTAAACCTGGGCAACGCTGTGTATTTCAGCTATTGATTTATAGCAATTTATTTTAAAAGCGAAACCACAATTAAAAATGATCAACTTTCAAATAGAAGATTATTGATGTCTCATAAAAAATAAAGAAAAACAACGACATTCTGGTTTTACAATGTATACAAAGAGAAAATGTTCACAATTGAAATAGAAGATGGGCGCGAAGCGCCCTGACAGCTTAGTTTAGATAAAAGACAAACCTATCCAATCAGGCCACTCGTAGTCTGATAATGCTTTTCCTTTCTGAAAAAAATAAAGATCAATCAAACTTTTTTCAATCAAACTCAATTTGTCTATAAATCCCTAAATCTTGCAACATAAAAGGTAAACCTTAGATATTTCAAAATAAGACAATTGGATCTAACACAATTAATAATTTGAAATTCAGAATTACTTCTTTCAAAGAACCAGTCTTATTAGTTCTTTTTTACATATTTGCCCATTAAAAAATGGTGAAATATTTCCGACACAATTTGAAATTGCATGTGTAAAAAAGTGGGATATCTCACCTGTGTAATCTCCCACACCGTTGGTAGCCATTTTAGACTGTGGCAAACCATGAACACTGAAATAAATTTGAAATTAAAGACTGAAGGAGAATGTTAGATTCATTTGATGTAACTGGTACGACTTGATGACCTCGTAGCTCCACTAGTTTTGATGTAACTGGTACGACTTGATACCCTCGTAGCTCCACTAGTTTTGATGTAACTGGTACGACTTGATGTCCCCGTAGCTCTACTAGTTTTGATGTTAGGCACAAGTATGAGACAAGCAAATTAATGCAGGTTATATATTAGGAATAAAACGCATTTTGGTTTTCTCATTAGATTTTCAGTTTAAGAAGTAATAAGAAGTAATGCGTAATAAATTTTATCTGGCGTTCAAATTACTTGAGATTGACGTGACTAGCGAGTCTTGCACGAGTTAAGAGAAACTAATTTTGAGTTGTATTAGAGATCATTCTTGATAAATAGTGAATGCGATTGTAGCATAAAATATAGAACATATTTAACATGAAATATAGCACATGTAGCATGAGTTATAGCGTATGAGCCGTGAAATTTAGCACACGAAGCATGGATTTTAACGTATATGTTACATAGATTATAGCAAATGTTACATAAATTATAGAATACGTAAAATGAACTATTGCAGAAGTAGCAAGAAATATAGCATATGTAGCATGAAATATAGCATATGTAGCAGGAAATATAGCATATGTTGCATGACATATTGCACATTTAAAAATTAAATATAGCACATGTCACATGAACTATAGAACATGTAGCATAAAATATGGTGAATGTAGCATATAAGATTGTAAACGTAGCATTAGAGTTAAAAAAGAACAAACTGTGATTGAAAGTTACAGTTTGGAGGGAAATAGACAAAACTGTAGTGAGAGAACAAAAATAATGTAGCATTAGAGAAATATATGCAATGTTTGGTTTGGGACAAAGAATATCAAAGATGAAGAATAAAACATGTCAGTAGCAGTATGCAGCAAGAGAGATTGTTAGAATATGGCATGAGAAACTGCATGTACGCAATAATGCATGAATAAATAAATGTAAAGTATGGAAACAAAGAATATTGAATAAGGACATACAAAGAATACAGAGTCTGTTATTAGGGCATTAGAAATAGCATGTTTTTACAAATAAAAAAAACTGATTCTCTAAGAAAGATTAGAACTGTGTGAAAATTCTCAAAATGCATGAGGTGTTTAAAATTGTCGTATGTTCTTAACCCAATTTTTTCGTTTTATTCTCAAATATCTTTGCCATAAATGTTCAATGATGGTTGAATTGATACATTATATCAAAATTTAAAGTTTCAATTTGGAAAATAATTGTTTTTAAAAATTCAGTTTAATTTAAAAGACATTGGATTTGAGATAGATATATTTTGGCAAAATATTTCTAATCTGAACAATCGATCACGTTTTTTGTGTAAAATTTATTTTTGATCATCCAGATAAAAAAGGAATATTTGATAAGTGAGATTTAGCTTATTATGGTCGAAAGAAAACTGTTACACTATGCTACCTTAAATGGCTGAAAAAACTGCTTCCACTACACGATCAATTACTTCTTCACTTTTGCAATTTTTTATTTAATTTTGATGTACGGAGTAGGGTTTAAGTACGGGCAAACGGCTGGTCAGTGGTTTGTGTTCAAATAGTCAATAACTTTCTTTTTGTTTAATTAAGTTACAGAACTAAGATTTACAGTTATTGTAAATCCCTTTAAAAATAAATGTGCTAACGTGTGTCCAATATTAATATTTGTAAAAAAATAAACAAATTTTTTAAAAATTTATCCGACGTTATACTTTTTCATCTCTTTTAAACCTCTCCATAGCTAGAACCTTAACCCCTCAATTTAGAGGTATACTTTGTTTTACCAGCTGACTTTGAAAAATTTGGAATAGAGATATGTGTCACACTCCCCTATATTAACTCTAATTGATTCTCTATGTCTTTAGCTTTCAAAAAAATGTTTTTGATGATTTTTTATCATTGTGTATATATATTATCTTGATATAAGTCTGAATATAATCATATATTTATGTTTAATTTCTTTATTTTTACCTAAATCCAAGGTCAAAATGCAATGAAAGTTATTTCAAAGGTGTACGCATCTTTTGTACTGCGCAGTGTACTGTCTCTGGGCGGTAATGTAAACACAAGACGGATGTCGAAGCCTGACATGGGATCTATCTTTCACATAAAAAAAATCAATGAAATAGCCACCTCGTATACTAAACAAACACTAATGCATCTTTCTTGTTTACAAATTCCGCCCATTGAGAGAGAACTGGTTTCAATATGTTCGCAGAGTATACGCAACTGCAATTAACTTTCCTTGCATTATAACCTTGCCTCAATCTTTATCCTTTAAAGTTCTTATCTAATGTACAATGTACACAAATATGCACTTTGAGAATTTGTATGTTAACAAGATAAATACATTAAACAAAACCATTATTCATTGTTTATTTTCTCTTCAGCAATTTTGTTTAGTTTTGATAAAGCTAAAAATAACAAATGAATTGAGTATTTGCCTTCAACTTTGCTAATCCTTATACTGTTGGAAACAGATAGTAAACGTCATTGATTCAGCTTGTTATGAAAAGTTTTATTAATTTTCAAAACAGGGTTGACTTTGATGTCGAAACGCCTTGGGCTTTGACTTCTCCGCTCTTACTCAATTATTTTTATTTGTAGCTCTAAACATCTTCAGTTCAGAACATGAAAACACTTGCTGGTATCTCTAGTTTTTAAGATTTAATTGGTAAAATTCTTATTGACAGTGTGAGAGCTTGGAATACTGCATTCTCTGTTCAACCACCACCATACATTGCCGGTCACTCGCTTTAACAGAATTTAAAGCTTAAAATACCTACGCATTATTACGCCATTGAATCAAGAAGATATAGAGATTAGAAAATTAGAGTTTGTGACAAAGACTCAATTCCTTTCGTGAAATGGTTAAGCTGTATGCGTTAGCAGATCAGGAATAGTGAATATTATTCTGGTAGTTTATCTTAACAAGTTGAACGACCATAGCTAGTTACCCATAGATAAATAAATAAACATAAATAGCTTATGTACGCAAAATCACCAAGAATTGTACAGTCCGCGAACTCATACTTCTAGGGGTCAAAGTGTACTTCAATGATAAGCGGGGTGGTTTGGTGTTCTAATGGATTTCATAGAATAGAGTGTAAAATAACTCCGGGAATGGAACTATTTGAACAACAATATTTCACTGAGCAATATATCATATTGACGAGAACTGATGAAGGACATGAGAAGGATTAAACTAACTTAAATTTCTCTCTACAGAACTCATGTACACCACAAGTACTCAAGCCAATGTTCACAACCGACCTTGTTAATCCATATAATATCTTTAAAACATATCTGTACATTTATATCTTTCAAGATGAAAAATGTCGTCTTATGCGCAATCTATCTTTATCTACAGGGTGTCCCACGAAACATGACAGTTGGTGAATAGTTTACAATGTCTTTTTCCAGAATTTGTTAAGTTGTTTGATACCAAAGAGAAATAAAAATATTATATGGGAGTCATGTTATATTAAACTTGATTTCAAAGTAAAAGATAATGAAGCAAAAGATTTTTTGACTAAAAATAACGATTTATTAAATGTCATATTTCGTGGGACACCCTGTATGTAGTTACCTATAACAATGAGAATACTGATTTTTGAGAGATTAACTTCCTTCCGTCGTTGAGATCGTATTCCGGGATTAAACCCAAGCACACCAAGATCATCATCATTCTTAAACAAAACCATTTGAAGGATAAAGGGACTGTAAACATAGTTTCAGGTTACCCTCCATGCACAAATGGCAATAGCCGATATACAACGGTATCCTTCAAAGCTTTGTCTGATGAGGGGAAGAAGGCCAACCACAACAATTTCTCGTTCGAGCCACATTCTCCTCAATTTCTCGTCCGAGCCACCTCTAAATCCTCGTCCTTTCAATATTATTTTTTTAAGTATCTGATCCTTTCAGATAAAACTATTTTTTAAGAATCAAGCCACGTTAGGGCATAAATGAAATATCAAATTTTTGTAAATCCCAAAAAAAAAGTTTCAGTTGAATTAAAGATTTCAAGTTTAATGTCTTTGAAAATGTTCACCTTTTTTACACGCATTTTCAGATATTCCTGGTGTAGAATGCCGCAAATAATTCCAAGTTTAAAGAACTTCAATCTTTTTTTTAACTATAGTGAAAACCAAAGAATTTTTCCGGGTGGTTCCATGGGGAAGGCAGAGGTATGCCGAATATTTTGCTATTTATTTTGTATCGCGAGGATTAGCCATTACGGAGGCAGAAGACATTTAAGTTTTACCTAAATAAAGTTTGACATCATTCTCCTGGGTTTGAAGAATCCAACATAATATAATCATTGAATTGAATACTTTGGTCCATTCATATTTTTTGCCTTAACGTGGCCAGATTTTTAAAAAAAAGCTTTATCTTTATCTTTAAGAATTGGAAACTTTTTAACACAAAATAATCGAAGGACGAGGATTCCGAGGTGGTTCGGACGAGAAAATGAGGAGATTGTGTTGTTTAGATCAAGGTTTCAAGGGTACTGTTGAAAATCGGGCATTGCCATCTTTGCAGAGGATGCGTAGGAGAATCGCAGGCGTTCAACGATACATATAAAACATCTATCTGATGTTCCTGTCTCGAGAAATTGATATAAAACTGTATCAAATTTATACAAAAATTCATATATATACAATTTTGTATAAAAGTTGTAGTATTAAGCAGATCATATTCAACAAATACGCTACCAATCTGAAAACGACGATATCCAAAGGAGCCTAATAATCTCAGGTTTGCACCTTTTATAATTTTTTAATATTTACTTTGCATTTTTAAAGATATGATTGATAATATGATTAGATATAGTCCATATAGTCCGTATTATACGTCACCAGAACTTCAGTATCATTGTCACTTGATACAGCAGGAACTCATGTGACCGGTATGTAATAATATTATCAATTATATCTATTAAAAATGAAATAAAATGCAAATAATTATTATATGAGCAAACCTAAGATTCTCAGGCTCCTGTGGGATATCATCGTTTTTAGATTGGTTGTGTATTTGTTGAATATGATCTGTTAAATACTACAACTTTTATACAAAATTGTATATTTACGAATTTTCGTATAAATGGCACAGTTTTATATCAATTTCTCGAGACAGGAACATCAGATAGATGTATTATATGTATCGTTCAACGCCTGAGGTTCTCAGGTTTCATTCTATACCCCCTTTCACTTTTCCTTTACAGTCCCATTAAATGTCCTTGTTGCCAGTGTAATTAAATCAGAATTTAGATCAATCTAATGAAAACATTTCGTGAGATATCCTTTGGTAGCAAAAAAAATCGTTTGATGTAGGCGGTAGCACAAAAAATCGTTTAACTAAGATTAAGTCATACAGACACACTTCATAAATTTTTAAATGATTAATATTTTTACAATTGTTTTTGTAATCTGTAGATTAGACAATTAACTATTCAGGCTCTGTGATCTTTTCTCCTTTGCCAATTTTTTTGTTCACTTTCTTTGGGTCAAAAATATTTTTGATATTATTGCAATTATGTAGATAGTGTAATGTTTGTTGTTTACCTGCATTTTCTTTATTGTTTTGAAGATTGATATGTTGAGAAAGAGAAGGATGGTGTAAGGAAGGATTCCTAAGATAAACAGTTAAAGAAATTTATTTGCTTTGCTTTGAATCCATTACATCTTAATGGGAGTGACCGGCTGGACATGGTAGCTGAGCTGAGAGTGCAGTTTTGTGGAGACATTTGTCAAGATTCATTTGAGACCTATGAGGTGTTTTTACGGTTTATAAAGAAAGAGAGCAGATTCAATCTTTAAAATCCTTCTGGATTGTTCATTCTGGAGAAATTATTTTGAGAATTAAAAAAAAGAGGATTTTAAAGACTAATTTTCCTCTCTTACACCGTACAAACGTCTTAAATGTCTTAAATGATTTCTAACGATTTCTCTACAATACTGCATTCTTAGCTCAACTACCTTGTCTAGCCAGACACTCCCTTGAACTTTGATGGTTAAGGTGATGGATATTGAAAAATATTTTTCGTTCTCGAAAGGTACTTATGTAAATGGAAAAATATGTTTTATTTTTGAAAAATATTAGCATGCAATGGTGCAACTAATCAAATGTTTATGTTTTAATTTTTTAAGTGCTTATCAAATATTTGAATAGTAGACCAATTCTCCCTTCAATGAAAGGGTTAAGAAGTAGTAAAGTAAGATATGCTATATTGGGGTATTAAATAATCTAAATAATAAAAAAGCAGATTACAAATACAAAGCTCAAATTTTGTACCATGAAACCTGTGATATTCAATTTTTTTTTAAATTCACATTTTGAAATAAGAAAAGAATAAAAAGGCTTTGTAAATAAGGTTTGATATGAGGCAAGTGTTCCTTTTCTTCGCCATGGTTTTATTTTACCTAATACGATTAGATTTGCCCACATAATGTATAGGTTAACATAGTTCTCGTTCAACCTACACAATAATAATAGTATTCAACTATTTGACCACATAATGTATAGGTTAACATAGTTCTCGTTCAACCTACACAATAATAATAGTATTCAACTATTTGACCACATAATGTATAGGTTAACATAGTTCTCGTTCAACCTACACAATAATAATAGTATTCAACTATTTGACCACATAATGTAGAGGTTAACATAGTTCTCGTTCAACCTACACAATAATAATAGTATTCAACTATTTGACCACATAATGTATAGGTTAACATAGTTCTCGTTCAACCTACACAATAATAATAGTATTCAACTATTTGACCACATAATGTATAGGTTAACATAGTTCTCGTTCAACCTACACAATAATAATAGTATTCAACTATTTGACCACATAATGTATAGGTTAACATAGTTCTCGTTCAACCTACACAATAATAATAGTATTCAACTATCTGACCACATAATGTATAGGTTAACATAGTTCTCGTTCAACCTACACAATAATAATAGTATTCAACTATCTGACCACATAATGTATAGGTTAACAGAGTTCTCGTTCAACCTACACAATAATAATAGTATTCAACTATTTGGAGAACTCGGCCTTGCCCAATTTCATATTTTACTCTTTAGTATTAAAGGGATTGACCGGCTATGTAAGGTAGTTGAACTGAGTATGCAGTGTTGTGGAAAACTTCTCTCGGATTCATTTGAGACATATTAAACTTTTTAAAGATCTGTTAATCCTGAGTTTGAGCGCAAATTCGATGTTAAAAACTCCATCTTTGGGGGTGGGTACGTTTTCAGAATTAGTTTTTTAAATTATTAAATAACGACGACATAAAATGTTAAAAAGTTCTACAAAAAAACTTCAGACGTCATGTTGAGAAAATAAAAAAATAATCTTATCATCGAAAATAAGTAATCTTGTTCAATTATTAGTTTCTATTATCTCATTATTCTGGTTTCTCACTAGGTACAAAGATCTTTTGCAGATTTTCTAGAATTTTTATTGAAAAACGAGATTTGAAGAATTTGAAAAAATCTGCAAATAAATTCAAAGAAAAAACGAAATTCAATATAATAATGAAAACGATATAATCGGTTTTAACATTGATTTATTGACAAATTTTTTTTGAGAAATATGGTCCCTACCATCCAATTAGATTACTGTATAATTTTTACTTTATTTATCGTTGTCGTTATTTAATAATTAAAAAAAACTAATTCTGAAAACGTATCAACCCCCAAAGTAGGAGTTTTGAACATCGAATTTGCGCTCAAACTCAGAATTTACAGATCTTCAAAAAGTTTAATATGTCTCAAATGAATCCGAAAGAAGTTTTCCACAACGCTGCATACTCAGTTCAACTACCTTACATAGCCGGTCACTCCCTTTAAATGATCATTTTAGTTATAGTGCCCGGTGTTGCCCCTGGTGCTTCAATTTTTATTTTTTTTCGGCACCCAGAGGTTTTCTCAATAATGTCAGCCAATTTGTTCAAGTCATTAGGCCAGCTAAAGCTAAATAGCTAAATAGAATGTTGATATTACGTATACAGTCCCTTTTACTGACTAAATGTCGTCTTCAATATATACTTGCCTTAGTTTGGTTGGTTGAAGGGAGTATAAAGTAATATTAGAATCCTCCAACGTTGAATTCTCTAACTCTAAAATATTAATTATAACAATTATTCATATCCAAATTTCTTAAAAATAAAAAAAGCAAAAAAAAAATCTCAGTTCAGAAAAAAAAATTTTCTCATCAGTTTTTAAAGATACATGAAAACATTCTGGTTGGTGTACTGCATTTTGTTATTTACATTAACCAGTTCTTTTTGAAATACTTATACTAAATCTGTCTAGATGAATTGATACATGTATACTTGACTTATCTAGTAGAATAAACATTACGACGAAGCATGAGACAAAATACAATTTTATTTTAAGGAGCTTAACATTTCATATTTTTAAAAGTATAATTAAGGAAAGGCATGAAAGGGACTGTAAGCGTAATTTTAAGTGCCTCTATATGCAAAGATGACAATGTCCGATTCACAACAGTGTTCTTGAAGGCCTTGTCTGATCAGATCAAATATGAATTAGACAGCAATTTTTAGAATTTTGTAAACTGATTTTTTTTCTGTTGTTTCTTTGCTAAAGTGACTTGCGCATTTAATGTGCAGGAAAAACATATTGGAATTATCAGAAATAAACATTTTAAAACCTGGAGAATCGACAATATCTTCCACATTATTGATAAAAAGTACCGATTTGAATCGAGCATTGTCATCTTTACATGGGGGGTCAGTAAACAGCTATTATAATGCATCTTAGTATAAATATAATCCTTCTGTGTCCGAATTTAATGAATTTGAGGCGCGTCTAAAATCCGCCAAAAACCGTGTTCAATTGAGCGCCGGCTTAAATCTCGAAACATATGCAATTTTAAGTGGAACCAACCATATTTGAGCAGCGGCTTAAACTTATTTTCGTTTTTATTTTATTGAATTGTGGCAGAACTAATCAACATTTAAATATAAAAAAGGTTTGAATTAATTTATTTTGTGAATATTCAAATTTAGCAATTATGATATAGCTTGGTTAGTACATTTTCTATGTTTTCAGAAAACAATCAATTGTAATTGTTAAAATGTTAAAAGTGTTTTCAACTAAATTGATTAGATTTAAATTTTAAAAAGTCATCAGATTTCCATTTAAAACTTTTAAAAACCTCGTAAACTAGGACTTGACTGAGATTTTTTTAAACTCAGAGATTGATTTTATATTGAACCCTTGATATCGATATCCATGCAGGGTCCTTTTTAAGTTTGAGAATAGAAATGCTTGATCCCTCAATAGTCAATAAGAGTTGTCCCTGTAGAGTATGACCATCACAGAATATATAAGAATAATTAAATTGCTCCTAAAGTCAGCATTAGTTTACTTGTAAACTACCCCAAAATCAAAATTGGGGTTGTATGTTATTTTTTTATGTTTCTGTGCGCCAAGCATAAAAAATAAAAATGTCACTTGCCAAAAATCCAGACAACATGTTTTTTCTGTGCGCCTTTGCGTTCTCAAGTGCAAAGATTCAGCTCTCTCAAAAAAATTGATTTCATTTGTAAAAATCATGTTTCTGTGCGCCGCGCAGATAAACTTCAAAATTACACTTGATTAAAAAAATCTGGACTGCATTTTTTTTATGCGTCGGTCCGTTTTTATTCAGATGTTTCAATTTCCTCAACATAACGTAACAATTTACAAGTTTTACAAACTTTACAATTTTGTAAACAAAAATCATATACAGTATTATACAAAAAAGTAGCAAGACAAATTTGACCCAATCCGGTCATAAAACACCTTTAGGACCATGTCACAATTCACAACAAATATGGCTGAGCAATTATTCAAATAGAAGATTCAAGAAAGTTCAATGTTTGAAAAATGTTGTAACTTGCGCACTGTTCGAATTTACAGTTTATGAGTACATACAAGAAAGAATAATCACATCAAACAAATTTTTATAGAAATTGACAGAGGCTTCTTGTCAGAAATATACAAAAAATCCGTTTGGTTCTTTTGTAAATTATTTTTTTTTAGCCTTTTAAAAGCATTTTACTTTATATTGGACTTTTGCAAACAATTTCAAAAAAACACAAAAAAGGCAATATGCCAGATTCAGGAAAGTTTCCGCCAGATCCCTTAAAAACCCGAGGCAGGGCAACGGATACAATTTAAACGGACAACGGGCGGTCGCAGGGTGCACGAATCCGACAAATTTTAGAATTCAGAACTAGGAGGCAGCCTAGTTCAGGTGTTGAAGGGGTACCCTCAAGGTTCAGCCAGAAACACGATTTTGACAAATGAAATCAATCTTTTGAGTGAGTTGAATCTTTGTACTTGAAAACGCACAGAAAAAAAACATGTGGTCCGGAATTTTCATCAAGTGTTATTTTGATCTATTATGGGCGGCGCACAGAAACACAATTAATTCAACGGAACTTTTACCAACATTAAGTTATAAATTGAGATAAAAATCTGTTTTCACTAAACCTATACATCAATAACAATACAGATAGAACACTAGATGTCGTCTCTTAAGATTTAGGGGTTTTAAGTTCACACCAACCCTGAGGCAGAAGTCCAAAAATGTTACGAGCATGTCCCGTTGAAAGACAAGACAGAGAGTTATCATACGCGTAACTCCTTTGGACTTCTGCCTGAGGGTTATTGTGATCGAAAAACACTTAAATCTAGAAAAGGCTAATTCTAGTGTTCTTTCTGTATTGTTATTGATCAATGAATAAACCAATTACTTACGATAGTTTATCTGTAGAACCCTGAGTTCAAAATATCTAGGCAGAGTGTAGAGAAAGCTGATAGTTCCGATTGGAAGTAGGTAGTACCTGAATACAGTATTTGTTTGTTTAATTTTGTTTGTTTGTCAGTTCATAACTCGGTAACCTCTGTCCAGGGGCGTATTCAGGAACTTGTCCAGGGGGGGCTTAAATTTTGTTCTTTCCAGGGGGGGGGGCTCAGCACCCGTTGGAGCCTGATAACCCCCTGAAATTAATAGATTTCACTGGTCCAGGGGGGTTCTTAGCCCCAATAGCCCACCCTGAATACGCCTCTGCCTCTGTCTCTGTGTTTGTATCCAATAATATTGTATGGGATCTCCGTGTTCCCAAGGAAGGTTTATGAATGATCAAAATTTTAAAAACTTGTGTTAAAAGTTTTTTATTTTTGTAAATTTTGAAAATGCGCGAAAATAGAACAATGAAATAGAAGATGTGTGTGAAGCGCCCGTAAAGCCTAATTTAAATATATAATACACAATAAAAGGGGATTTTTCATTTGGCGTACTATCCCATTTTTATATTGTCTGTATGTGTACGTTACAGCTTGCTTAACCAGGTTCTCAGTCGGCCTGGCATTTGAAACGACCCGGAGTTTCTGCAGTGAATATAATCTTATAAAATCCTCAAACATATATTCAAATACACATTAATCTTTAATTTTGAATCGATGATTCAAGATTTGAACCTACACGCGGTAGGTAGTTCAGCGACCCTGCTTAAAGTTCATAAAATTCCATCCAAGGATACATTAAAAGTATTTGTTAACGGTCATGATCCCGATGGACTTGCAAATTTATTAAATTTTTTAAAAGAAGATTATATAAAAACCAATTTGGAAAAAAATGCAAAATTTCAATTAAGGCAGGAACTACTTTTTCTGTAAAAGAATGTTTAATTACCAAGGTTCCTTCGATCATACAAAAAAAATTAAGTTGGTGTTTTGTAAGCTTTAGGGAACGTAAAATGTCATTAATTTATTCTACAATGAGATAAATATCAAGATACTTGTAATTTGATAAATACTTTATAAATACAAAATGAAAGAACAAAATATGAATCTTATCCAATATATTTTCCGACTTCCTATGATTGTTCAAAACTGCACAGAAATAAATCGTCTATGTCAAAGTTAATGATAAATATTTAATATCTCACTATGCTAATTTCACAAAGAAAATGGACAACATTTTATCTTTCTTGTCGCTTCGCGTCAATCTTTCTCGCGTCGTTCCATTAAGAAAAGTAACCTTTACACCTTTGACTGATCAAGCATGACAGAGCTATCACTTTTTATCTCCAATTACACTTTTGTAATGATAACTTTATGAAACTATCGTGTACTTTATCATTCTTCCTCACTTTATTGTGAATTTCATATTTTGCTATTAAGTTAACTTAGCTTTACATTTTAGCACATGTTCTATTAAGTTTGGTTCTCAGATTTTCTCCATAAAATAGGATAATTCCAAAATATTTTTTTTAATTGAAATGAAAATAGAATTGAAATCAACTTTATATTTTGACTTTTGCTTTATTTCAAAGCTTATTTGATCTAGAAATAGTAATTGAAATAAAACAAGCACACAAACGTTTCATAAAATTACCTTATAACACACGACGTGCCATAAATTTTTGAACTTAAATTTTCTCTATATCTTGAAGGTTCTTGCCTTTTTAGATTATATTTTGTCCATCGCTAAAGCTTGGGACAACATTATATCTAGAAAGGCTTAAACCTGCTCGAAAAAGAGAACATTTCTGCCCAAAAACTTTATAACTCTGCGAACCAAAACAACAATGTCATATAAATAAGTGTTATTTTTATCTATTTTAATTTTTCTATTAAAAAATATTATCTTTTCTTTGAATACGGGGAGGGCTAACTAAAAACTTAAAGGGAGTGCCCGGCTATGTAAGGTAATTGAACTGAGTATATCTCAAATGAATCCGAAAGAAGTTTTCCACAACACTGCATACTCAGTTCAACTACCTTCCATAGCCGGTCACTCCCTTTAAGTCAAGCAGCACTATATGTTATCAATATTTACTTTCTAATTTGTTTGTTTGGATTAATTTTCAAACCAGTTTTCACCCAATCATTAAATGTAATTTTTGTTGTTAAATGCCCTGGGGGAAATGATTTTAAAGGGACTGTAAGCGTAATAAACCTGGCATTTCAGATTTACAACCTTTGCTTGATCAAGGATTTGGTAGATATTGTTATTTATATAGCGGTAAATTAAATCAAGTGTCAAGAAGAGATCCAAGGTGTGATGCTCGGATTGTAAGTTGGCTCTTGGCTGGCTCTTCCGCAGCGTAAATGCGGCTAACATAAAATACATACACGTAATATATGTCTCTGAAAAAATAGACCAATTTCGAAACATCAAAGTTCTTAAAAGAAGGCCAGAAGTTAACAAACAGGAAAAATTCCTATCAAAGAAGAAAAGATGTACACTATCTCAACTTAGATCAGAATATAGTATCCTACCTCAATTCTTACATGTCTAGGATAGATAGCAACGTACAAAATATCTGCCCAAACTGCAGGGAGCTCCACATGACACAAACTACATATTCAACTTAGATCAGGATACAGTATCCTACCTAAACTCATACTCTGGGATAGACAGAAACATACAAAATATCTTCCCAAACTGCAGGGAGCTCCACATGACACAAACTACATATTCAACTTAGATCAGGATACAGTATCCTACCTCAACTCTTACATGTCTAGGATAGACAGAAACATACAAAATATCTGCCCAAACTGCAGGGAGCTTCACATGACACAAACTACATATTCAACTTAGATCAGGATATAGTATCCTACCTCAACTCATACTCTGGGATAGACAGCAACATACAAAATATCTGCCCAAACTGCAGGGAGCTCCACATGACACAAACTACATATTCAACTTAGATCAGAATATAGTATCCTACCTCAACTCATACATGTCTAGGATAGACAGCAACATACAAAATATCTGCCCAAACTGCAGGGAGCTCCACATGACACAAACTACATATTCAACTGCCCATCCAAAACCACCCACCTAACCCCAAGCAGTGCGAGTGTACACTTGCACAGAGAGTACAGGTTGTCCCACAAAACATGACAGTTGTTAAATAGTTTAGAATGTCTTTTTCCATAATTTGTTGGTACCAAAGATCAATAAAAGCATTATATGGGAGTCATGTTATATTAAAATTGATTTCAAAGTAAAAGATAATAAAGCAAAAGGATGTTTTAACTAAAAATAACGATTTATTAAATGTCATGTTTCGTGGGACACCCTGTAGCTGAAAAATCGTTAAAAAAATTTAAGATAGTGCACTATAACCTTGAGTCTCCTGGCACTCAATCTTTAGCTATACAAATAAGGGTATCTACTCCAAGGTACTAATGCAAGGAAAGTTAATTGCGGTCACGTATACCCTGCGTACATATGGAAACCAGTTCTCTCTGGGCGGACTTTATAAACAAGAATAGATGCATCAGTGTTCGTTCAGTATCCAGGTTAAAAGCATTAAGTTTCGATCATTTTGAAAATTCACATAATAGTTTTCTATGACCAGAATATTTCATAGATTACTTTGTGAAAATGGATTCAATGCCAGGCTGTGACAAACGTCTTGTGTTTACTTTTCCACCCAAAGACAGTACACTGCAGTAGAAAAAAATGTGTACACCTCTGAAATAACTTTCCTTGATCCACCCCATCGTTGTCCATATAAAAGTTTAAAAGGTACTGTTGTGAATCAGATATGCATATTTATAAATGGAAGGTGACTTAAAATTACGCTTACATTCCCTTTATTAAATATTATTGTTGATAAGGTTTATTAAGGGTTCACATACACATAGATCCAGACTGATACAAACTTCTTATTTGCATCCATCGATCGGAAATATTACATAGATTTCGAACCGATATGAGAGCTCATATTACATATCAACTAAAAGATGTTTTTCTTTGTGCCACCCTGTAGATCTGTGGGAGGTGGTGCTCGTTCTCAATTTTCAATAAATATAGCTGTAATCTCTAATCCCCCAATATTAGGAAAAACATTTCAATATTCATTTTTTGACATTTTCAACGCATGCAATGTTATTTCGAAAAAGTTGATTTTATAGGGGAAAAAGTGTTTTAAAAAAAATATTAAGTATAAATCGTCTGAATGACATTTTAAATTCATTAGAAATATTTGATATTTTTTTCAATTTAATAAAGAATACAAACCATTTGAAAAAATTGAAAATTTTATTCCAATTTAAAATATTGTAAATAATTGATTAAAAGGAATAAATTAAAGGGACTGTTCGCGTAATCTTAAGTGACCCTCCATGCAAAGATGGCATTGCCCCATTTACAACGACCGAGATACCCTTTAAAGCTTTGTCTTGTCAAGTATGAATTAGATATCAATGTTTATAATTGTGGCTTCTCTACAAAAGCCGCTTGCGCATTGCTTCTACAGGAAAACATGTAGAAATTGGTAGCTTGTTTAATAGCTATGCTTGTGTCCCTGTGTGGCATTTAGAGCCGGAGTAATAGCTAGATTGATAAACTACGCTTGTGTTCATGTGTGGCATTTAGAGCCGGAGTAATAGCTAGATTGATAAACTATGCATGTGGCCATGTGTGGCATTTAGAGCCGGAGTAATAGCTAGATTGATAAACTATGCATGTGGCCATGTGTGGCATTTAGAGCCGGAGTAATAGCTAGATTGATAAACTACGCTTGTGTTCATGTGTGGCATTTAGAGCCGGAGTAATAGCTAGATTGATAAACTACGCTTGTGTTCCTTTGTGGCATTCAGAGCCAGGTTGGTTGTGTCCTGGTTGACTTGGATAGCGGACTGGTTGAGCCTGGACTGAAACAGTTTGGTTGACGAACTTTTAAGAGTACGGCATTTACTACAAACATATTGGAATAATCAGAAATAAACACTTTTAAGCATGAAAAAGTGATAATAACTTCTATATTATGGATCACAGAAAGGTTTCACGGGAAACATTGGGAATCAGACATTGCCTTACTTGCATGAAGGGTCACTTGAAATAATGTTTACAGTCCCTTAAATAAAGAGAACAGAACATTCTCAATATCTACAGTCTATACCGAAAAAGTGGACCTATTTGCCTCAAATTTTGATTTGGGAACTCGGAAGAACCATGGGAATGTTCTTGGCTTGGTTTTGAGATTCTAAATTGAGTAGGTCGAAATTGTAACTTACGACCAAGTGCGGGTAAACTGCGGGAGTAACCATGAGTACCCTGTGCAATGCTGGGTTACGAAGCTAGAATATAAATATAAAAGCATATTTTCTCTAGTAATTAGAATTGAATTTATCCTAAGGGAAGCTTTACAATTGACAAATTCCCAAGGGGAACTTGCACTTCCTCCATATATATAAATATGGCTTGTCTGTTTTTGTGTTTGTATCTAATAAACTCCAAATTTTGTACGGTCACTTCTATGATCTCAGAGTTGAGCTCAAACCCGAGTAAAGCCCAGTCTTAGCGTCTATTTTCGCCCAAGTAAAGCTCAAGTCAGGACTTGAGCTTTAGCTTTACTTGGTTTAAGATAAAACCAAACTGAACTGAAAATTTAAGAATTGTGGATATTGAGATCAATGCTTGATCTCCTCTTTATATAAATCTTAAGGAAAGTCATATTTGAACATTTAATCTCTTGGCAATTATTTGTCGTGTTGAAATTTGTTATATTTATTAAACAAGCACAAAACAAAATTGGTAAATTAATGTAAAGGTTAAATTTGATAAATTTACAAATCTAAGAAATTGAATGCGTGTGTTTATCATTATTCATTACTAAATCATATTTCTGTTCAAACAATCAGAATGATTAGGTCGACGTAATCAAGGGCAGACCTTGGCGTAATCAAGGGCAGACCTTGGCGTAATCAAGCCTCAAGTTCTGTTTTACTTTAAACATCTCAGCTTGGGGAATGGTTTTGAAGTCAGAATAAAAAAAACATGTTACCTCGAAATAAATTACCATCATCTGAAACGCGAAAATCCGCCAAATTTTACGATATTGTTTTTGTAATTTATGTTGAAAAAGGGGTTATAGAGAACTTAATTTATATTTATAAAATTCCAAAGAGGATTTTACCCTATTTAAATTTGGATTATAAACCTATGCGTTTAATAGTCTATGATGGGTTGGCGCTGTGATTGTAATGCATTTGGTTCCTACTGCTAGAAAATTGTAAAGCATTAAATAAAACATCTGATTTCATCTTTGTTACCATGCTGGCCATTTGTGGGCTATCTTGAAGAATGGATGACACACTGTGATGTAACGTTCCAGGGACATCCCACAGGTCAACATTATAGAGCCTAGATAATTTACAGATTAATCACGGGCAACGCCAAGCACTTCAATTAGTTTAATATTAATCTTGATTAACTTTTTTTATAATTAAAGGGAATGTAGGCGTATTTTCAAATGACCCTTCATTAGAGGGGACTTCCCGTTTTACAGTGGCACGCTTAAAACATTTGACTTAAATGTTGATAAATTTGTCGGAAAACTGTAATTGACGCGTTCAATATAAACTTAACACTGCTGACTTTACATATTTTTCTCGAAATTTCAGAAATCTAGTTTATTGTTTTTTTCCTAAACCAGTTTTTAAAGTTTCTAACTTCTAGAAATTGAATAGTAGATCTTCTTAAATTTCAATTATCTTGAAAATAGGTGATCAATAAATACAAGAGATTCTGAAAACAAATAAGAATAATTCCCTCATCCTTGAACAATCAACGTTTAACAGATACTATATAATGTAGCGGGCGCAACCTACAAATAAAAGGTCATTTAAAATTACGGCACCATTCCCTTTCGATAAACAAAATTTAAAATATTATTAATTTTTGGATATTTTATAACTCTAAGGAGCTATCCACTGGATCGATATGCAGCAATACTAGAATATATAAATATCCCCTGGACCAATATCCAGCACTATACTAGAATGTATAAATATCCCCTGGACCAATATACAGTACTACTACAATGTATAAATATCCCCTATGACCAATATACAGTACTACTAGAATATATAAATATCCCCTGGACCAATATACAGTACTACTAGAATATATAAATATCCCCTGGACAAATAAATAAATATCCCCTGGACAAATAAATAAATATCCCCTGGACCAATATCCAGCACTACTAGAACATATAAATATCCCCTGGACCAATATGCAGCACTATTAGAATGTATAAATATCTCCTGGACCAATATACATTACTACTAGAATATATAAATATCTCCTGGACCAATATACAGTACTACTAGAATGAATAAATATCCCTTGGACCAATATGCAGCACTACTAGAATTTATAAATATCCCCTGGACCAATATACAGTACTACTAGAATGAATAAATATCCCCTGGATCAATATACAGTACTACTAGAATGTATAAACATCCCCTGGACCAATATACAGTACTACTAGAATATATAAATATCCCCTGGACCAACATACAGTACTACTAGAATCTAAAAATATCCCCTGGACAAATATGCAGCACTACTAGAATATATAAATATCCCCTGGACCAATATACAGTACTACTAGAAAATATAAATATCCCCCGGACCAATATGCAGTACTACTAGAATATATAAATATCCCCCGGACCAATATGCAGTACTACTAGAATATATAAATATATCCTGGACTAATATGCAGTACTACTAGAATATATAAATATCCCCTGGACCAATATACAGCACTACAAGAATATATAAATATCCCCTGGTCCAATATGCAGCACTACTAAAATTTTAAATATCCCCTGTACCAATATGCAGCACTACTAGAATATAAAAATATCCCCTAGACCAATATGCAGCACTTCTATAATAAATAAATATCTCCTGGACCAATATCCAGCACTACTAGAATATATAAATATCCCCTGGTCCAATATGCAGCACTACTAGAATGTATAAATATCCCCTGGACCAATATGCAGTACTACTAGCATATATAAATATCCCCAGGACCAATATGCAGCACTGCTTTAATATATAAATATCCCCTGGACCAATATGCAGCACTAAAAGAATATATAAATATCCCCTGGGCCAATATGCAGCACTACTAGAATATATAAATAACCCCTGGACCAATATGCAGCACTACTAGAATGTATAAATATCCCCTGGACCAATATGCAGCACTACTAGAATATATAATTATCCCCTGGACCAATATGCAGTACTACTAGAATATTTAAATATCCACTGGACCAATATGCAGTACTACTAGCATATATAAATATCCCCTGGACCAATATGCAGTACTACTGGAATATATAAATATCCCCTGGACCAATATGCAGTAGTACTGGAATATATAAATATCCCCAGGACCAATATGCAGTACTACTAGAATATATAAATATCCCCTGGACCAATATGCAGCATTACTAGAATATATGAATATCCCCTGGACCAATATGCAGCATTACTAGAATATATAAATATCCCCTGGACCAATATGCAGCACTTCTAGAATATATAAACATCCCCTGGACCAATATGCAGCACTACTAGAATATATAAATATCCCCTGGACCAATATGCAGTACAACTAGAATATATAAATATCCCCTGGACCAATATCCAGCACTACTAGAATAAAAAAATATCCCCTGGACCAATAATCAGCACTACTAGAATATATAAATATCTCCTGGACCAATATACAGTACTACTAGAATATATAAATATCCCCTGGACCAAAATTCAGTACTACTAGAATGTATAAATTTTCAATAATGATAAGGAATATTGTATTTAAGGAAAACTTATTCTAAAGTTTTTTTTCTCATTTTTTTACGTATACTGGTAACTGCAAGTTTTTGATTTTAAGTGAAAAGATACTTTTAACCTGTATGTGCTAGTGGTAGCATGAATGTGACACTGTATGCGAACATATGTCTAGTACCTGTTAACCCTGTATGTGCTAATGGTAGCATGAATGTGACACTGTATGCGAACATATGTCTAGTACCTGTTAACCCTGTATGTGCTAGTGGTAGCATGAATGTGACACTGTATGCGAACATATGTCTAGTACCTGTTAACCCTGTATGTGTTAGAGGTAGCATGAATGTGACACTGTATACGAATATATGTCTAGTACCTGTTAACCCTGTATGTGCTAATGGTAGCATGAATGTGACACTGTAAGCAAATATATGTGTAGTACCTGTTAACCCTGTATGTGCTAGTGGTAGCATGAATGTGACACTGTAAGCGAACATATGTGTGGTGGATATATCTGGCCAAAGAAGTGGACAGCTGAATACCCAGGCACTAGAGGCTAGATACAGTAGATCACTGAGTGCCAAACTCATCATTAGCCTAGAGAACATATAGTTAGATATACAGAACACATAGTTTGACATAAAGAACATGTAGTAAGATGTACAAAAAATACAAAACATATAGATATAAAGAACATAAAGTTACATATACAGAACATATAGATATGCAAAACATTTTGAAATACACAACATAAAGATAGATATACAGAACATATAGATATACACAACATATAGTTAGATATACATAACATATAGTTAAATATACAGAGCATATAGATGTACACAACATATAGTAAGATATAAAGAACATAAAGTTAGATACAACGAATATATAAATTGAAAATATATCTAAATATACAGAACATATAGCTAGATATATATTAAGAATATACAGTTAAAATATAAATAACATATGCTAGATATTAGGAACATTTAATTAAATAAAGAGAACGTATCGCTATAGATGTATTCGATATAAAGAACATATCCTAAGGAACATAGAACAGAATTATAAAATATGGAACAACAGACTCAGCGTAAGATATAATTGTCACTAAGAAAGGTAAGATGTAGGAACTTATAGGATGTCTCAGTTAACATGTAGAATTTTTTCATGAACACAATCATTGCAGTATACCAATTTAAACATGTAATATTGAAAGTGCCTGGGCTTGAGATTTTCATAATCTGGTCTACCTTTTTTGTACTGTCAAAATTGACAATGATATTGAAAAATTAGTAAAAATTGTAATTTACTTAACCCTATTACAGCGGGGGGGGGGGTCAATTTGGCCCCCCCCCCTGTAGTTTTTTTTACATAACTCAAAAAGTATTGGTCTGTGGCTGTTGAAATTTTCTGACTTTTCTTACATACCCAAAGCCCTCCCTTTAGGCCTAAAACCGGGCATTAATACTAACTGCCTAAGTCCTCAGGCACACTGCCTGAATGACTGCTTTTGCCTGTAACAAACTAAATCTTTGTTATGACCCTTTTCACTTGTCAGATTTTGATAAAATTTAGCTTTTTGGAAAGCCTATGACATAAGGAAACGGATTGCACAAGTTTTGCGAAAAAAAAATTGCAAATTTTTTGCAAACAACCTGTCAAAGAAAGTTTGCACATTTCTAGTTTTTCTTGATTAAAAATCAGGTTATTTAAAATTTTGCACAAATTTTTGCATATTTGAAATGGCATGGTCAAGGGCTTTTCAAAAATGTATAATTTGTCATTTTTTGGACAATGTTTTTTTGGAAAACAATTTTACTATAAAACTGGATTTTGCGATAAAAAATTCAATTTTCGCAAATTTGCAAATTTTTTTTCAGATTCTAAAAGTAGAGCACAAGAGCTTTCTAATGATGTATTATTTGTCATATTTGGACATAAAACATGGGATTTAGAGGGGGGGGTCAAATTGACCCCCCCCCCAGCGTATCCTGGTTTTCAAGTACCCCAGCAGGGATAGGGTTAATAAATAAAAATTTTCTTATTATCTAATATATTCGTCAATTTTTAAGACACGAGAAAGGTATATATATATATACTTTCTCTGCTATTTATTAAATATAAGAAATCAAAGACGACTTTCAAGTTTTCGCTTAATTTCCATGTTTATTGGGACACCCTGTAGCTAATATTTTAATAATCAACGAAAGTGTTATGTAAGCACGCTAATCTACCCACATTGTGTAAGTGTTTTAATACTTATGCAGTACGTCTTGCATTTGACATGTGTTCTAATAGAAAATATAAAAACAGTCTGTAAAATCATAAAAACAACTTAACTATATATTTAAGGTGTTTGGGTAGAGATAGGCACGTTCAACTTTTTCCATTTCGTTCTTTAATCGTTCGTGAACGACCCATTTCGTTCTTTTTTTCTATCGTTAAAAAATTGATTTCGTTCGTTCTCAAAATTATCATTCATTTTCTTACTGAACGATCGTTTAATGAAACCGTTCGCGCTTTCGTTTTTTTCATTCGTTTTTAGAAAACGATAATTTTTTCTTTCTCTGAACGATCCATTTACAATTCTGAACGACAAACTTTTTTACAAACCAATTTCTATGTTTTCAAAAAGTGTGTTCGTTCATAAAAATTATGTCCATTTCTTTTTTTAGGAACTAGAAATTAAGAATCATTAAGAATCATATAGTGTGGTGATTTTTATTTGAGGTTTACATTAAGAAGCATACATGTCAAGTATATTATTTGACCACTTCAGTTTTCATCGTGGATTATCTAAAAACCTATATTTATAGAAAACCTTTGCAGAAATTCATGAAAAATTTCTTTTAAAGTGAGTATAAGCAGAGTTTCAAGTGACCTGCCTTTTGTAGAATGGCATAACCGATTTACAACGATACCCTTTTAACCTTTTTATTATAAAGTATGATTCTACATCGATGTTTGAACAAAGGTTAGAAGAGATACCGTTGTGAATCAATAATTTAATATTTTTAAATAATTTTTGAATAAACATTTTAATCTTTTTAAATGTTCTTGATTGGATATTATAATGGTTGTTATTGTACTAGTTTGTTAGAGCTAGGCATTACTTTGTTAAGTATCATGTTTACATAAATTTTTCTGCCACTCCACCTTCTCTTCCTATCGTCCAGCCCCCCCCCCCCCCTGTCACTAAACTGTTCTAGGGAAAATTATGAAAACCTGGCCTCACAGATTAATTTTCCCTCACGAGGACTGTTCTTTTTTTTGTGATATTTATATTGTATAAACTCAAAATCTTCGTGAAATACATGATTTGCATAATGTCTCCCTTTAATTTGAAGGTCACATGAAATTACGCTGACGGTCCCTTTGTAAAGTTTTAAAGTTTTACCTTTGAAATGTTTTTTGTTTGAGCTGATATGAACAGAAGATTAGAATAAGGAGAATATTTAGAACTATCCCCAGCAAACAACTAGATTATACATATTCATAAAACAAAAGTTGGTAAAAAAAAAAACACTGTTAGACGACTTATATCACTGTTCATTTCAAGTACTGGGCTTGATCAGCTAAATGACAATATGTACACAAGTAGACTATATCAGGCAAAACCGGGCCTGTACACTAGGGAGATTCAATCAAATTCATCGTTATTTGTATGAAATTATGAATTGAAAATAGGAATTTCTTTCAAACTTCATTCTCGGTAATGTTCTGCACTAAAATTTAAATAAAAAGTTTGTAATTTTGAAATTCAAAAATATTGGTTTTTACTATTTGATTACCTCAAATTTAAAAAAGAAAATTTACTAAATAAAAACATCAAATTGATTATTATCGAAGCTTATGCTGAAATGAACTCAGGAATGCATGACAGGCTATCAGATAATTGATTTAGAGAAAATCAAATAACTCTTTAATTTCAATTTCATAACTTTTATACAGTGGGACTGATAAAACTATGAGATGGAAGGAAAGCATTTAACCAATCTAGTTTATGTTTGCTAAGTTTTATATATCACAAATGTGTAAAGTACACCTACCTACAGTATGGAAACAGTACAACAAAATGGCCGTTTAACACTTTTTTTGAGTAAATTCCACTCTATTTATAATCTATTCTCTTTGACTTAAGAGGAGCAATCCGAAACAATTTTTATTAATAAATATGAAAACTGAGAAGCTTAAAATTTGAGTTTGTTGCAAAGTTCAATTCCTTTAGTTTGCCGTTTATGTGAATTGTGCAGGAAGTAATAAGATCAATATTTACTATTCGAATCCGGGACTCATAAAACTGGAAAATGGAAGAAAAACATTTAACCAATCTAATTTATGTTTGCTAAGCTTTAAGACTTGTTAGAAAGTAAAACAGCTTTGAGACAGCTAAGGGGCAGGCAAAAAGGGGAAAAACCCTAAAAACCATAGAAAATTGAGGTATATATAGAATATATTATATTTAAATTCTATTTTAAGAATGGATTAAAACATTTTCCCTGTGAAGACTTTATAATTAAATAAATGTTTAGTTAAATAAAGATAATTATTTTGTTTTGGCACCCAGGTAGCTTGGAATTTGCTAGTGGGGAGAGGAGGGGCATTTGTTTGGACCAGAACCATAGTAAAGGTCAAAATTAATGACTCATTATGTGTTATAGTTTCTCTATAAAAAAGATCAGGGTCCAGTTTGAGCGTCTGAAATTGCTTTTTTGAACATTAATCGGCATTTTCCTTGTTGATGCCATTTTTCTTGAAATAAGAATAATATATGGCTATATTTGTAATGGCTCAAAGGAAAAGAAAAAATATTGTAAACCTGCGGACAAAATATCTATCTAAATTGCCTTTGACAAAAGGAAGCATATTGCATAAATCTTCCAGGGAAGTTTCGCATTTTTTGCTATGTGATTGAATTTTAAAAAAATATTTTGATATTTCAAATCTGAAATTAAATTTTCTTTACTGGTTAATCAACCAGAGCTCGATATCTGAGTAACAATAAGGGAGATATAATCATTTTCTAAATCCCTGACATGGAGGGGGGAGTGAAAAAAAATCTTATTCCCCATATCTTATCCTAGCTTAACCCTATCCCTGCTGGGGTACTTGAAAACCAGGATACGCTGGGGGGGGGTTCATTTTGCCCCCCCCCCCTCTAAATCCCATGTTTTATGTCCAAATATGACAAATGATACATCATTAGAAAGCTCTTGTGCTCTACTTTTAGAATCTGCAAAAAAATTTGCAAATTTGCGAAAATTGAATTTTTTATCGCAAAATCCAGTTTTATAGTAAAAATGTTTGCAAAAAAAAATTTGTCCAAAAAATGACAAATTATACATTTTTGAAAAGCCCTTGACCATGCCATTTCAAATATGCAAAAAATTTTGCAAAATTTTAAATAACCTGATTTTTAATCAAGAAAAACTAAAAATGTGCAAATTTCCTTTGACAGGTTGTTTGCAAAAAATTTGCAATTTTTTTTTTCGCAAAACTTGTGCAATCCGTTTCCTTATGTCATAGGCTTTCCAAAAAGCTAAATTTTATCAAAATCTGACAAGTGAAAGTGGGTCCAAACAAAGATTTAGTTTGTTACAGGCAAAAGCAGTCATTCAGGCAGTGTGCCTGAGGACTCAGGCAGTTAGTATTAAAGCCCGGTTTTAGGCCTAAAGGGAGGGCTTTGGGTATGTAAGAAAAGTCAGAAAATTTCAACAGCCTCAGACTAATACTTTTTGAGTTATGTAAAAAAAACTACAGGGGGGGGGTCAAATTGACCCCCCCCCCAGCGGGAATAGGGTTAATCCTAGAATCCCCTTGCTAGAGTTGTCTTCTAATTGTTTTTCTTTTTGGGACAGCCAGTATGTGTTCTGCATTGATTACAAAAATAATCCAAATTTTCAGAAAAATACTTATTGTCAAAATTGAAACCCTTATTGCTTTTTTTACAATGATATACAAAGAGAAAATGTTCACAATTAAGCTATGAGTGCAAAGCGCCCTAAAAGCCTCGCTATTTGAAAAAGGAAAATTAATTTAAAACAAGATATTAATTGCAAATTTGTAGTGTACAAAATTGTCTGAAGCAAACAAGATTAACAATTCTGTAGGACTTTACAAACGACGATTTTTACATTTTAATGTTTATAATTAAATAATGATTTTAATTCACCTATAGCGAATACACGCGTTTAAAGTTATTTAAAAACTTTACAAAACAAAGAAATTGAAATGGATATGCTCAGGGATCATAGGGTATTAGCAGCGTTGCCAACTCCGAGGAAAGATAATTCCCAATTTCTGTCTTCAAAATTCCCAAAATCAACTTAAAATTCCCCATATTTATTGTATACTGAAAACAGAGTAAAACGCGCTTTAAATTGAAGAAGCCCTGTTTTGGGGAAAATTTCCTTGACAATGAATGATCTGAATTAGATTCGATTTAAATTATGAATACATCTTTGTCGAAAAATAATTCATGACAAAGATTTTTATGAATTTAGTCAATTTCATTGATTTTCAGTACAATTTTCAAAATATATTAAAAAGTTTTAAATTCCCCAGAAAAACCCCAATTTTCATTCAATTCCCCATTCCCAATTGAGTTAGAAATTCCCCAGATTTCCAAAAAATGGGGAAAAATTCCCCCGGTTGGCAACGCTGTAGTGTTAGTGTGATGTACTGCATATAATTTGTGAACAATTACATGAATTGTACACTTTGAACTCCCTTCAGGCTGAAAGGGACTGACAAAATGCATACCAAGGGATTGTTTAAATTCCACTTTATGTATAATCTATTCTCTTTGTCCTCACTTAATCAACATAATGAACATATATTATTATATAAGATATCTATATAATGTTTAGTCGATGTTGCGACTGATTTTGTTAAAATATATTTGCAAACTTGCGAAAATATTTGCATTTATTTGACTTTGTGTTTTTAGTTAAAGTATCTCATCAAAACTTGAGAATTTCGTTAATCTTATCGAAAGCTTTGGAATAAATTTCTATTTCTATATTAAAGTTTATACTTCTTCATTGTTTGTAATTATATCTGAAAGAAGAGGGGGTCCGACCACTCCGTATTGCTTTTAAAATTTATTTTATTTGATATATTACACGAATCGTTTTTCTTGTGCGATTTTTAACATCTAATTCATGGATTTTGAAACAACAAATATTTGAATTTGTGTAGAGTATAAATCTTGTTTTCAAATGAAAGCCCGACATTTCTAAAAGCGTATTTAAAATGTTAAGGGTATTTTGGACCTAGCAGTGCAAAAGAATAATCCGATTGATAAAATAAAAGAATACTTTTTAGAGAGGAACTGTAATGAGAAAACTTGAGAAACTTTGAATGAGATACAGAGTCGTATCCTACTAAATTTATGGGATCAAACAAGTTGAACTACGTCATATAGACTTAACTGAACCACCAAACTGTGTGCGCGGGATCAAATTCAAAGATAGTGGTTCAACTTTATCTCTCTATTAGTTAAATGTAAAAAAGATAAATTTTAAGCTCGTAATACCGAATATTATTTCCTGTCGAATAGTTAATATACGATAATTATTTTCTTAAATAATCGACTAAAACCGGTTTTGAAAATTCACTTTAGCATACTTTATACTTTTAACTTAGACCCATTTTAAATAAAACCAAATTTTGATAACAAATTTAAATAATAATAATTTTATGAATATAATTCCTAACAAAGATGAGAAGTCCCTCCACAATCCAATCAAAGCTAAGGTCTGACATGTTTTTACTAACCAATCAATTAATCAATGAATCAAATATGATTAGACGGTTTTCCAAACCGAGTCCATTTTGGTTTTAACCAGATATGCTCGTGCAAATTCACTGATAATGCATCATCCACTCTCCACTAAACCCCGCTATTTCTTCAGTCAAATTACTGCAAATTACTGAAGTAAACACCGAAATCTCAGAGGATAGATGTAGTCATTTTAGCTTCTGAGTTTTGTGTGGCGTGTTACTCTTTCCGTTTCGTCAAAAACTTTTAGACTGTTTATTTTATTTCACTAAAAACGTATTTTTTTCACTAAGCACTTTTTTTCTCGGTTTTTGTATGCACACTTTTGTCACTTTTCAGTCCAATCACTTCAATTACTTGTCTTGTTGATTTAACCTGACTTTACAAAAAATGAATTTCTAAAATTTTCAGGTTTTTTCTTTTAATCTCTGGGTTTCATCCTGTCCTAGAAACTAAATATAGTCTGTACTTTTACTGTTTATATCTGAAAAATAAGATCTAATAAATAGTAATCTAATAATTTGGAATTTTCACCGCTGTAACCAACACCTAAACATGTGTAATATTACAAACCTATTTGTATACTAAACTTTCAAGAGGGGTGTGAGTATGTATAAATATACAGGAATAGTGTTGCTTCGATAATAAATTGATTTCAGAGTGAGCCCCCCTTCCCCCCCCCCTCCTGTAACCGGATTTAATCATATTCAATATAGAGTGGAAACTTACAAGTATGTAAAACGGAAAGAAAAAAGAGATATCCACAGAAATTATTTTTGGCAGATTTTTTTCTTATATTTTACAATACGTACTTTACAACCCAGCTGTCTCTTAAAAATTCCAACCAATTCAACTTGGCATTTTTAAACCAATATAAGAAAATTCCTGCGGTTTTAGAGAGTTCCACGTTTCAAATTCGGTAAAAGGGGGTTTATAAGTTATGATTAGACACACAAACAAGCAAGCAAAAGAGATTACTGATTTAACCCTATTCCTGCTGTAGTTTTTTTTACATAACTCAAAAAGTATTGGTCTGAGGCTGTTGAAATTTTCTGACTTTTCTTACATACCCAAAGCCCTCCCTTTTGGCCTAAAACCGGGCTTTAATACTAACTGCCTGAGTCCTCAGGCACACTGCCTGAATGACTGTTTTTGCCTGTAACAAACTAAATCTTTGTTTTGACCCACTTTTACTTGTCAGATTTTGATAAAATTTAGCTTTTTGGAAAGCCTATGACCTAAGGAAACGGATTGCACAAGTTTTGCGAAAAAAAAATTGCAAATTTTTTGCAAAGAACCTGTCAAAGGAAATTTGCACATTTTTAGTTTTTCTTGATTAAAAATCAGGTTATTTAAAATTTTGCAAATATTTTTGCATATTTGTAATGGCATGGTCAAGGGCTTTTCAAAAATGTATAATTTCTCATTTTTTGGACAAATTTTTTTTTGCAAACATTTTTACTATAAAACTGGATTTTGCGATAAAAAATTCAATTTTCGCAAATTTGCAAATTTTTTTGCAGATTCTAAAAGTAGAGCACAAGAGCTTTCCAATGATGTATAATTTGTCATGTTTGGACATCAAACATGGGATTTAGAGGGGGGGGGGTCAAATTGACCCCCCCCCATCGTATCCTGGTTTTCAAGTACCCCAGCAGGGATAGGGTTAAATAGATTGATAGTTGATTGGCATTCCTGTAGGAATTTAAAACCTTATAATCTTTGTACATATTACACATTTTCTATTTTGTTTTTAAAACTTGGACAACGCTAGGTATTTTAAATATTTGAAAATAAAAAATAAAAAAGTGCCGGTAACAAGGTTTTTTTTGCTGTACAAAACCTAGATTTTATGTAAAACAAATACTTTGGAGCAAAAACAATGTATATTGCATGTACAAAAGATATTTTTACATGAAACATATTATTCAGAAATTCAGAACATTTTAGAGTTTTGTTTTAATTAATACTCTCAAGCTGTTATATTCTTGTTAGAGCAAGAAACATCAAGAAGTTTGCACCATTATTACCAGTTTGAATTTTTTGCAAACCAGGCTGGCTGTCAAAGTACATAAATACTCTCGGGGGGGGGGGGGGGGGGAAAACAATGATATTTTTCCCCCAGTTTTCCGTTTTAATAATTCATTTGACACTTTAACGATTTTTAATGCAGGCCTTGCTGTAAATCCACGTAATAGTCGACATTTCTTCTTCTTTATTTTCATCGATTGAGAAAATAAAATTAAGATAAAGAAATATTAGTCACCCCTCCTCTCAAACTACCAAAGTTGCGTTACTCGTGTGCCTGTATATCAAGCAAAACACTGTCCAGCAAAATGTCTAATTAAAGTATGAATTCAGTATCTACATTGTACAGTGGTTAGTTATATTAAAAAATAATGATTAAAAGTAGTTCTATTGTTTTGCTTCATAGTTCAATTTCTCTTTGATATTTTACTTAATAATTCGTTAGTAATTTCCAAGATAAAAGCTAATGCATTATACCAAATTTATACCAAGAGAGTTAAGATTTACAGGGTGTCCCATTAATTCTGAACATGTTTGAACAGAACTAAACAGGGGCGTAACAATTGGGAAAAGAACGAACGAGGCCCACGTTCTAAAACGAGGAAGGAATAATTTAGTTGAAGGCTCTCGTTCTAGAACGAGGAAGAAATAATTAAGTTGAAGTCCCTTATTCTAGAGCGAGGAAGGAATAATTAAGTTAAAGTCCCTCATTTTAGAACGAGGAAGAAATAATTAACTTGAAGTCCCTCACTCTAGAACGAGGAAGGAATAATTTAGGAAGGAATAATTAAGTTGAAGGCCCTCTTTCTAGAACGAGGAACGAACGATTTCAAACAAATAGGGACACTCCCAGTCCTGAATTTAACTCTGTCAGTTTTTGGAAATTTTACAATCTGTCAAAATGTTAAAGATCCCGAACATAACAGCACAAAAGATCAACCTTAAGGAATTTGTTAGAGATGCGCGTGAACATTAAAATAGAAGTAAATCTAGTTATACAGATAAAACAAATATATTTGGTTACATATTAGAAAATCATAACTTTTTTATTCTTTTCTGTGGCTCTTTGATATGAAGTTCTTATTAATTCGTAGACCTTAGATATTTAAAATTATAAATTCTGTTAGATAAGATAATCTGAGTTTGAAATATCAAAGGTGTGCACCATAAGGTTGCAAAGATATAGGGATTAGAAAATTTGAGTTTGTTGCAAAGTTCAATTCCTTTAGTTTGCCGTTTATGTGAATTGTGCAGGAAGTAATAAGATCAATATTTACTATTCGAATCCCCTTTTTGCTTAGAGTGGAGTTTTTGGCCATTTATCAAACAATTTTGAAAATATTGAAACAACAACAGCTGAGCAGTATTCTTCGGTTCCAAGAGCATTTTTTTTAAATTGCAGTTATTTTTTACTGCAGCGACTCTTTTTTTATTGTTCAAATGCTAAATATCGATTGCGCTCACAATTTTTGGACCAATGAAAAAGTGAAAACTCGATTCAGTAAACAGCCCCAGCCGTTTTCTTAAAAATGGAGAAAATGAAGAGAATCTATTTATAACACAAATATTTACATGTATGATATAAGAAAATAAAATAAATTAACATCTTGATATCTGTATAAATCTATGACCTTGAAATGCCATCCTATATAAATGTTTTGTTCTTGTTAAGTAAATTACTTATATGCTTAATAAACTAAAAGGTATAAATATAATATTATCGAAAATCCATTAATAATATCCACGGATATCTAGAATCGATACATAAATGAACTCTCAAGCTTGGGTTGTTTACCAAAAGTTAGAAATGAAAAATAAAAATAATAGAAGCCTTTCCGACCATATACTTACGCTAATACAAATTCTTCATCGTTAAAAATACTTAAATGAACTGTAGGTAAAATTTCAATTGGCCTTCTTCCTTCAATGCCCAAGAAACCTTAATCTGAACAAAATGTCGAAGATAATTTAAATTTTCTGACTTGGAAAGTGATTTCTGTGATTTTCTCCCTTGCTTCCTATCCTCTGCTTGGCTCTTCGTTTGTGTCCAACAAACGTCAAATCGGCTGAATATATTGGGCCCAAATTATGTGTAGGACCTCACATGACCCCAGGGAAGGTTTATGGATGCTCAGAATTTCGAAAAATTGTCTCCAAAATTTTAGATTTTTGTAAAGTTTTGAAAATCCGCGAAAAGATATTATGAAATGAAATCTGTGAATTTGTTTTGTATACATTGTACAAAGAGGAAATGCTCGCAGAAAGAGCTACAATAATTACAATTAAAAGTTTCATTGTAATATGGGCGTAAAGCGCCCTAAAATCCAATTTTAAGTAAGAAAGGCGAAACCCACTTTCACAGAAAAACAAATAAAATTAAACAGTTTTCAAAACACAAAAACATGGAGTTCTAATTCATTTTTGATCAGATTAAGGTTTCAACGATATCATTGCAGATTTGGTATTTTCATTTTTAAATGGAGGGTATAACGTGAAATTACGCTTACAACAGTTTATTTTCTTGTCAAATTTAATCAAGGGAACATCAGATTTGCACACACACCACGCATGACGACACATTTAGAACCTGACTCTTATGAAAAGTTGCACCAATTTCAAGACTAGGCCATATTTAAAGTGTCGCACAGCTATGGCCTTTAACGCAAAAAATAGAAGTATTGGTTAGTATCAAAAATTGAAAAATTGTAATCTGTGAATAAAATAAAATCTGCCCCCCCCCCCGAAAGAAAATATTAGACCTAAACAAAACAATTTTTTGAAGCTTGCTGATTTTCAATTTCTAGAAATTCCCTGTAAAATGTAAACTGATCTACTGTTAAAGTGAAATTCCAGTTGTAGTATACTGAAAAAAAAAGAAAAGTTGGACAAATTGTGGTTTTAAAAAGAAAAATTCATGATCTTCACTTATTGAAACGCTAAAGAATTCATTGATTATAATTAGTGTATAGGAAAAATCCTTATGTAATTGTATTTTTTTCTGAAATTTTCTTCTCAAAGACATCATCATATTTTACATCTTTGACTGATGATTAGCCCATTTTACATCTTTGACTGATGATCAGCCCATTTTACATCTTTGACTGATCATCAGCCCATTTTACATCTTTGACTGATGATCAGCACATTTTACATCTTTGACTGATGATCAGCACATTTTACATCTTTGACTGATGATCAGCACATTTTACTTCTTTGACTGATGATCAGCACATTTTACATCTTTGACTGATCAAAAATGACGTACTTATTATTTGTATTTATTCATATTGAAAAATCGTATATATACATTTTTACAGAAAATATTTGTTCTTTGAATTTGCTCCAGATGTAATACCCTTAATTATAAAGATATACATTTGTGTATCAAATATCAGTGATTATTTTGTTACTTGATATGATTTAGTCTTATTCCTTTGTAATTACAGATATAAGAACGCTTCCTGCATGGTCTTTGTCTTTATTTTGTAATCACTTCGATCAATTGATTTAGTCAACAAAATGCATCTATTGAAATTGGTAAAAGATACTTCAGTAGCAAAGGACTTGAGTCTTTGTCACAAACTTAAATTTTCTAATCCTTATATCTTAGCAACTTGATGGTGCAAACATTTAATATTTCAAACTTAGATAATTTGATCTACCAGAATTCATAGTTTGTAATATCTGAGGTCGACGGCATTGGGTTGCAAAGATACAGGAATTAGAAAATTTGAGTTTGTGGCAAAGGCTCAAATCCCGTAAGATTGAAACCTTGTAATATTTTCAATCATAACTCTCCATGAATTGTAGAGATATTGTCAAGAACAAAACGGGTTTGACCTGTGAATATTGAAAAGAATGAAATGAGTCTTCTCATCCCAACAAACTCTGATTTTATAATCCCTATATATCAGTGTGATAGTTTAAACATTATGAATTATGTGAGGTCAAACAGTTTAAGCTAAACATATCAAAAAGAATATAGGGATTAGAACATTTGAGCTTGTGGCAAAGCCCCCATTCCTGTACTGTTTTCATAATTTTGCGTTAAATCAAGACTAAAGAATCAAATTTTGTTAGATGCAATTTTTTGAAAATTCGATCATCCATAAACCTTCCCTGGGGTCACGCGAGGTTCCTCACAAAATTTGGGCCCGATAGGTTCCGCCCTTTTGACGTTTATTGGATACAAGCAAACAGCCAAGCACAGTCTAGTATATATAGATATATTTACAAACCCCAGCCTTATAGCTTGAGACATATACTGAAACAACTTTGTGATCTCTTAGCTCCTCAATTATTTGATTTTATACACAACTATAACATCAAAGACATTTCCACAAACTCTGATTTTCTAATCCTGTATATCTTTGGAATCCAATGTCGTTGGATCAAGTAATCTAAGTTTTACATACGAAAGGTTAAACAATCATGTTGCATTTGAAAATTTGAGTCTATGGAAAAGACTCAATTCCTTGTATCATAAATTCGAACGTTTTTGTTTTCCTCATGTTTGAACCTCCATAGCTGGTTATGAGTTATGTTTGAACCCCTTTAGATTAAAAGCTGACGGGAAATTTACTCCAATTTGACGTGAGAAAAGGCAGTGATCAAATGTTTTATCAAGAATGAGTTATTTGTGTGAACGGCTTCATCATGATATTAAAAAAATGATGAGGTAAATCCACCAAGCCACTGTAAACTCCGGTTCATTTCAAGTACCGGGCCCACTTTGAACCTGCTAGGGCAACCTGTACAGTACATACAGACAATATAAGGCAAAACGGGACTGTACGCCGAATGAACAATCCCCTTCTATAGTTAAGGACCCAAAATATGAAATGAATGAATGTCTCTGAAGACTAACAAGACACGAATTAAAAAGATACTTTTATCAGTTTTTTTTTAAAAGACGAAAATATGTTTCAGAAGCAGTTATCAAATTTTTAATCAAAACTGTTTAATCTGATCCAAGATGGGAGAATTTTACATCACAGTATATAACCTAAGAACAACGTTTAACAGCTGAAATGTACTAGAAAAGTTAGCTAATTAGCAGAGTTAATCAAATTTTAGTTATTTCTAGTAAACATTAGAATCATTACCAACACACCATCTAAAGGAACAACAAGAAGGGGGGGGCCTTTTAATTCGATCAATTGAATAATCGGTAATTTTACAAGATAACAACTTTATGCATTGCAGTTATATTTTACCATTTTTGCAGAAATATTCAAAATTCTAAAATTTCTTTGTTAAAATGTTGCCAATAACACCCATTTTGTATGCCTAATGTGCATCACGAAAAATACACCCTCCCTTAACATACACTAGACGCGCCCCTGTCTACGAATATAAAAAAAGCTAGCAATAGTCCAATCTTAGCAATATTTGACCTTATATGTTTCAGGGTTTTAACTTATATTATTGTCTCTGAATTAGGCCCCCGACATCTCAGCACAAAGAGCTGAAGGAAACAGATCGGAGAAGATCAAAAACCTCTGAGAGAGGAGAGAGAAAATCTCCGTAAAATAGAAAAAGAGAAAAAATATTCACTTCGTTCTCCACAGAGAAAAAAATGTCATTTTACGTTTTCAACAATTTGACTTAAGAAATGATTAAATCAGAGTGAACGGAATGGCAAACCGCAAAATATCCTCATATCAAAAATACAAAAAAGTAAAAAAAAAATAAAAATAAGATTTTTAATGTATTACCAACCCCCTGAGTACAGTGCTATATATATCATAACTATACCCTTCATACAAATCATTTGATAAAAAGTTATGTTGTGTATATATTCCGTTGTTAATCGTTTTTTTTAAATGATCGAAAAAACGATGAGTCACAACGAACGAACCATTTGTATTCAACTTATAAAAAATAAAAATGAAACAACGCTTAGGTTATTTCTTTTCGTTTATTCTTTATCGTTAACAAAACGAAACGATCAATTTTCAAAAAAGTGAAAATTAAAATGATCCATTCCTATGACCAAGTTATTAGCCTCTCTTTCTTGAGAAATTATCATATTTCACTTAGTTTACAGATTAAGGCATGTGCCAGAGCAAACTGAGACATGTTCGCCATGTATTGTGATTTGATAGAATATGATAAAAGCATTAGATAACGAAATATGACCAGATTTTCTGCTTAACGTTTGTTTAAACTTTTTTTAAATCTAAGAACGCTTATATTAATTAATTAAAATATATATTATTTAGTCCTCCTTACAGTTTGCACTATTTAATTTGCATCCCTAAAATTTTAATTTGATCATGCCTTATTTTTCTATACTAAATATCATATTACCCGTCTAAAGGAACAAAGAACATTTTTTTAAAGGGAGTGACTGGCAAGGAATGGTAGTTAATCTGAGAGTGCAGTATAATATCATAAAATATCAAGGTTTAATTTATACCTATATCACGTTTTTAAGATCCATAATTGAAGTAAATTGTGTTACGTTTTGCAACTGGGTTATTAAAGGATTTTAAAAAGTCGAATTTTGTGAGCAAATTAGTTTTCTGTCTTGTGTAGTTAAAATATAATGTAAAAGCATAAGTATTAATACTGAGCTGGGAACTTTAGAATGGTGGATATCAGGACTAATGCTTGATCCTCTCTTTTTGCTAATCTCGAGACTAGCATAATCTCAAGATAATGTTAGTCTTTAGATTAAATATTTAGGTCAACATTTAGATTCAAAGAACGCCAGATTGGTTGGTTTTCTTGATTGGAAGGGCCCTCACTTAATTTCTCACCCATTTATTTATTAATACATTAGTTAAAATTGGTTACAAAAGAATCTAAAACCTGTTATGAAATATTTTTCTTCACCCATTAATTTACAAAATCGCCGACAACAAATTCTTTATTTGTTAGAAATTGCGGATTTCTCTCATGGGATAGAATTTATTTTCAAGGCAGTCATTGGTCAATACAATTTACGAACTATATTCCTGCACTCTCATTGGAAAAAATAATGTACGGATATGAGAGAGAAAAAGAGTGGATTAAGGCCTAAACTTAAAAGTTTCCACAGTGGATATTCGGATTAAATAGTTGGGATTAAAGGTTATCCATTATAAAGTTCCCAGCATAATACTGCACTTACAGTTCGACTACCATACCTAGCTAGTCACACCTTTAACATGAAAAATAATAATGACTGTGCAGTTTGCAGCCAGGTTCTAGTTTATTTTACAAGATATTATTATAAAATAAAATAGAAACTAGCATCCATACACTCCAGATGCCCATCCAAGCTGTGCTCTTTGAAACTGATACAATCTGCATTTCAGAATATTAGAGGTTGATATTTCATTAAATGACCAGGAATGACAAAAGTCACTGGAAAGGCAGTCCAGTTTGCACTGTTCAACATCTTTGGCTCTTGTACTATGGAATGATGATACAAATCTTGTTTCTTCCATTTTGCAAGGATAAACAGGCAACGAACCATCACAGGTTTTAGGCCCACTTCTCCAGCCCCTACTGTTGTAATAGGAATCGTAGCTAAAACTCCAAATGAAACATTCTCGGCTAAACAATGCAAAGGTCCAGTATTGACAACCTCTTCGTGTGTCACACATCTTTTTGCAATCATCAGAGCTTCGAGCCCTTTCAGGCCTAAGTTGCCATAGAGATCTTAGGCAAGGTAGAGAATTTGCCACTGAGCAATCTTGTGGCAGAGTTGAGCTGCATAATTCAGATTCGTTTCCAATACCTGAAATGCTGAATCTGTTAAGTGCTATTATGCTTGCACTGTTTTCAGTGGCAGTACCAGTAGGTGTTCCAGTGGGAGGGTAAATTACATCAGGGTTAGAGTAATAGTTAATCCTAGGTTCAACCGGAGGTATCTTCTCTACCATTATTGTTTTATATTCAATAGATCCATCTCCCTTTTCAATAACATGACCAGATATATGACCAACCCCAAAGTTGTGAGCAAGACCATGGCCCACACTGTAAAATCCTGAAGCACAGTGTTTTGCACTGACTGATAATGTTCCCCCTGTTAACACACTATCTCCATATGCAACTCCACAATGGTCCATTTGATTAACGAGAAGCAAAGCTGCGTCTGCTCCACCTCTCAGCGCAGAAACTGAACTTTTCATGTTTTGGAAATTTGAAATCATATTTTTTGAATCCGGTATTTCAGTAACTGTGGCTTTTTCTAAACAATGAAGTTCCACTTGGATAGGAATAAAACTGTTTGCATATCCTTGATTAGTTTCTGCTAGCACTTGAGTCACAAATCCATGAATGTCTGAGGTAACTTTACTAAATTCATCTGTGTAGTATACTTTTAGAGAGAATGATACTGATGAATTGTCTGTGTTTGATTGGGAAATCAAGGAACTATGATCAGTGCGCACATCTCCTGATATAGAAGGAGTTTCAGCAGGTTCAGTTTTAGCAATATGGGCCATGTTCATTTGTTTCCAAACATGTCCACGCTCTCCACAGTTTTCTATTGTATAAGCCTGACCTTCCGTTGTCTGGCAATGTCCATGAGCGCCATCAGTTCTAGAGCTATAGGTAAGAATACAGGATGCCACACTGCTGTTATAATGGAAAGAGCTTGTTCCAATTGTATTATAAAGAGAAACTGTAATATTTTCGGGTAGTTCAAGATAGTTATCTTTTCCTATCAGAGACGGAGAAATAGTTAAAGGTTTGCATCCAGTCAGGATTATATCATCTTGACAACAAATAGGTCTGTTCAAGACTGAAAAGGAGTTCCCAGTTGTAGCTAGGATCTTTGCATTTGCCCCTACAAAAAAAAATAATGATTAGGTTCTTTTAAAATGTTTACAAATATATAAATGTATATATTATATACTCACTTATCTTAACATTTAATGTAAAATTTATTTCAAAGCAAATAAATTTGAAAAAAAATATTTTTTTACACAAAATAAACTGCAATAAGTCTTTAACATCTCATACTTTGTCTAGAAGACGACCTTGAAAACTATTTACCAACTGTCATGTTTCACGGGATACTCTGTATTTAAGATTTTTTTAAAATAAATCAGTTATATTCGACTGTTCAAAATTTTGGCAAAAAACATCTTAAATAAATTTTTCTTAAATAAACAGAAAATTAACATAATCAAAGAAAGGGAACTATGTGCTTTAAAACGTAATGGAATATGATTCATTATAATTTGATATTCTTGAGAATTTTGTTTTGAGATTTTTTTTTATTTGAACAAATTGTCATACTTATCGATAATTAAATTCTATTTTTAAGGAAACAAAAGTGATTTTCTTAGTCATAATGGTTTTTGTGAATATATTGAGCTGACACATATAACAATCTGTCACATAGTCAAAATTTAATCAATTCTATTTTAAAACTTGTTAAAAGCTTCTTCTAAAATAATGAAGAAAATATTCTTAACCCTAAAATGATGGGGGAGTATGCTGAATCTATTTATAGATTGGACCTGAGAGGGAGGAGGGGGAGGGCGTACTAGAAAAAGAGTAAGGTGTTGGATATGTGTAATACATGTTTTTAGCCCAATTTATCTTGCAGAGTTCCGGTTCGAAGATAATGGAGGAAAACGAGGATATCTTTAACACATTTTAATCAATAAAGGTTTAATTTAAATGTATCGTTGTGCATCGGAAATGCCCCTCACATATCCTTTGAAAGTGTGACAATACTAAAGCTCAGGACAAAATATAATCTGGAAAGTCTTGAAACTTCTTGAAAACTTTTCTGTCCAAAACTCTAATTAGCACTGCGAATCAAAATAATATTGGTAAAGGTAATTTTATGAACTATTTGTATACTTGTCTTATTTAAATGGCTATTTCTAGATAAAATGAGCTTTTTTATTTCGATTTTATTTTCACTTAAATTTTAAAAAAATATTTTTTGGAAATATCCTAAATTTGTTTTTAAAAATCCAGGAACCAATCAAAACTTTACAGCATTGTGCTATTATATTCTGCTAATTTAACATTATAGCACGATGATCACTTTATAGCACGGTGCTATAATGTAAAGCTAATTTAACTTTATAGCACGGTGCTATAATGTACACCTAATTTAACTTTATAGCACGATGGTAACCCTATAGCCGCGGTGCTCTACTACACAGCAAATTTAACATTATAGCATAATGATTAATTTATAGAATGTGGTTATAATGTACAGCTAATTTAACATTATAGCACGATGATTACTTTATAGGACGGTGCTATAATTTACAGCTAATTTAACATTATAGCATAATGATTAATTTATAGAATGTGGTTATAATGTGCAGCTAATTTATCATTATAGCACGATGATTACTTTATAGCACGGTGCTATAATTTACAGCTATTTAACATTATAGTACGATGATTACTTTATAGCACGTCAACAATAAAATTCACTATGAAGTGTAAGAATGATAAATTGTACAATCAAAAAAACTAATAATTATTAATTAACCTGTTAAAACAGCGAGAATTAATATAGCTGCCATCATGTTTAAGCTTAAAAGGTTTACTAATGAATGGAAACCTAATATGGAAACTTTACTGTTGTTATTTCTGCCTGTTAGGCCAAGTGTTTAATGATTCATGTCGTAATAAAATTTATTACGACATTAAATAAAACAACATGAGATGAATAAATTATTTTTGGGGAGAAGACCCACCCCCCCTCACACCTTGAAATATCTTAAATTTTGATGGTCTAGTGTCACAATTTTTTCCGTTCCCCAGAAAAACAATTTTTGCGTATTTTTCTATCTAAATTCCAATCTAAAAAGATGGACATTTTTTACACACACTTTTTATAAATTTGTATGTCCATATACACTTTCCCAATTCCCAGGGATCATGTGAGCTGAGATCAGCTGTTTTAGCATTTATCGGTTAGATAGACAGACAGATAAACAACCAATTAGTAAAAATAGATTGTTATTTGTAATTAATCATCCTTTAGTTTAATTTCAAAAGGAAGATAAACTCAAGGTTTCATTTTGTAATCATTACATCCTTGCAGCCTGGTGGTGAATACGTTTATATTTATATAATTCATACAGGAGCAATTTATACTTGCAGATCCTCAGTTTTCAACCAGATTTAGTTTTTTTTGACAACTATCAGCTTAAATTTTCTTATAATTTCCTATAATTAAGATGTAAAAAATTATTTATTTTTTTAACCTGTTTTTCCCATATTACAGGAAAGGACTTCCAAACCTTCAAAGTAAATATTTATTGCTACAACGAAACGGATAAAAATACATTAGAGATTTTATGACTGAAACTGAAATAGTTTTTATTTAATTGTAAACTGTAATTCAGTATCTTTTTAAAAAAAAAAGAGCTGTTTATGTCAAATTCTTTAAAAGGTTTAAATACCCCTCCTTAAACCCCTCCCCCCGATTAACGCAAAAGTTCTTTAATTAGTTCGACCCCCACCACCAATTTATACACATACATCTATTCTAAACAGTTTGTTTTTAACGTTTGTGACAGAAACAACATCAAGGAATAATAATTGTCTAAAAACATTTTTTTAAAGTGAATATTTGCAAATTATCTTTTTTCCATCTCAAAATACATGAGTTCGTTTCCCTTATGTCCATTTTTCAGCCCAAATTTTTATTTTGAATAATCTTTTTTGTTTTTTTATTTTCTTGTGATTTAAAAAAATATATTTTTTTTCGATTTTGATGATTATTATATCGTTAGAACTGACGAGGGTCAACCCAGACCGAAATATATTTTCCATAAATGTGGACCTAACATCTACTTTTTACTCTACAGAGGTTTGGTCCATCACCATCACAGAATTTTAAAAATTTTCCGTGATAAAACCTGATTCAGAAATGTTTTGTAAAACGAAGTAAGCTTTCTAAGGAAGGTTAGGGCTGGGCACGTTCGAGCGTTTCTTAAGTGTTCGTTAACTCTATCACGATGGTCAGGGGGGGGGATGTTTTTCACCCCTCTGTGTTTTTCTTTATAACTTTAAAACGGCTTACGCTTAACTTCTTCCCCTTTTTCCTTTTTTAATCTTGAGGCCGGTCAAACGGTTATCGGTGTTTCAAAAAAATCAAAATAGCCAATAACTTTTTTAATAATTTAGCTAGAGATCTAAAAGTTAGCTTTTATTTGATATTAGTCAAAAGTAAAAAAGACTATTTTTCATCATTTTTTCAAAATTCTTTTTGAACTTTTTAAAAAAAAACCTCCAACACCCTGACAATTAAAGTTAGAGGTCTAATTTTGTTTTTATGAGCTGGCCTTGAAAAGTTTGAAAAGGAATATTTATCACACTCCCCTATATCAACTTTAAGGGGGTGGGAGTGGACTCCCTCCCATTTATATTTGACAAAAATAGCCCTGTCGATATAGGGTAAACGGAATAGAAACAATGATTTGAGGGATTTTGCCGTTTTACCTTGGCAGTGAGGCATCGTGCGCTGTACGTCAGTTCATCAAATAGCTTTTCGTTTTTTTTCAGTTCAGTCAAAGGTTTTTTCCATTTGTTAATAAAGTTGCCGTTAGCAATCTCGACTTTGTTACGTTTAACGGTTGGGTTTAGAAAACTCCGAAGTGCCCATGGGCTAGAATAAAATAAGTTCTCCTTTGTGCGGGTAATTTCGAGTGGCCATCCATGCAAAGATGACATTGCCAGACTGAACACGTGTTTATTTCTGTGATTTTTTTCAGTGCTTCTTATAAACAAGATATGCGCAAGTCACTTTCGCAGAGAAACCGAAAAGGAAAAAAAGTGTAAAGAAACAAAAACATTGATATCTAATTCATACACGATCAGTCAAAGCTCATCAGACATTGTCATCTTTGAATGGAAGGTGACTTGAAATTATGCTTAAAATCCCTTCAAATTTAAGGCCACAGTGCATATAAATAAAAAACACGTAAAAATAACAACATCGTATAGTGCTTCATTTGTATTGAATTGTTTTCAGTCATATCTTGATATCTAATTCAAATACTGTCAAAAAGCGTTATAAACATTTTGTAGCTAAAGAGCCCAGCGTTGCCCGTGAAAAAAAAATGAACAAATTTTGAAAAAAAATCGATTTATTAGCCTATAGCACCCCCGGCCACCGATGAGTGTCCAAAAATTTTTTTATCCCATTCGGTCCAGCCGTTTGGCCGGCTATACGCAATATATATACGACGTCTTCTTTTATTAAACACCCAACAATGAAAACCCAACAAAAAGGTACAAAATAATAAATACGAAAAATATTCGGTAAAAATGAGTTCTAAGATTCAGAGTGTGGTAACTGTTGTTTAAGCTACTATTTTATTGCAGTTAGGCACGCGATGATATCATCAAAAAATTCTGATTTACTTTAAATTCTTCCTACACCCATAACGGTAATACATTCCTGTTAATAGCTTTAGCGTTGAACTCTCTAAAGTCGTCTTTCTTAATCGTTCTAAAATTTTCGCCGATTTTTTATTTGAATTTGTGCATTTTCAAAAATAGTAAATGATGGATCCCATGTCAGGCTGTGACATCCGTCTTGTGTTTAGATTACCGCCCAGGTACAGTACACTGCAGTACAAAAGATGCGTACACCTCTGAAATAACTTTCCTTGCATAATATCCTTGGGGGGAATGTATCATTTTTCAAAATTTGTTCAAATCATTCAAGTTTTTAATAAAATTAAGATTTACAGCCTACAGGGTACCATTGTGAATAAGATATGACCCCCTTTTTTGATGGGGGGGGGGGGCTGATTTAAAATTATGACGGTAGTCCTTTTCAGCTTTCAAAATCATAGTATTATATACTTTTAGGCAAGGAACTATATATTTCTTCCTTTTAGGTACTTAAAAATATTGTATATATATACTTATTCAACATATCTTTCTTTTTACATTCATTCCAACTCCCCAGACTTGGCAATATAAGATGTAATATTCAAGACGTGTAAAAATAAGATGTTATGCTTAAAGGGACTGTAACCGTAATTTCCAATGACCCTCCATACAAAGATGGCTTTACCTGATTTACAATAGTAACCTTGAATCCTTAATCTGATCAAAAATGTGGAAGATATCGTCGTTTTTCTCACTCAAAAAGTGTATTTCTCCGACCATTACTTCTTAAAAGAAATGCTCAACTCCCTTACGAAGAGAAACATGGCATCAAATGAAAAAAAATGAAAGAAACAAACCATTTATATATAATTTAAACTTGATCAGATAAAGCTTAATTAAGGGTAAAGTTATAAATCGGAGATATGTCATCTTTGTATAGGAGAGTCACGCTTATAGTTCCTTTAACATTCATGAGTTAGGATTTAAACCCGTAATTTTTCTGTTGAATAGGGGAGGAGAGAATACACCTAAATTATGTCATCAGTGTCAACTCCTTACCTATCCGAAACATATCTTGATATGTGTAACCGATTATATTCAGTATCGGTAATTATCTTCGGGCCAACCACTCAAAACAACCAACCCTGGTTAGGCGGGTCCAAACTGCTTAGTAAGTGTTGATTGCTTATTTGTAATATCTCATGCTTTGTAGTTGAATAAAAATATGAATGAATGAATCATATTCCAAAGCCTTCTTTTACCTTTAATTTTTTCCAAAAACAAAATTTAATGATACGTAGTACTAATTCATACTTCAAACTACATTATCCTCTTACATCATAGAATATCTAAACTTTGTTTTGATATCTTTTTCAATACAGTGAGAACCAGAAAACTGTAGAAGGAAGACGAGTACTGGACCACAGTTATATCCTTAATAGTTCAATGAACTTGGCACACAACAGTTAAAAGAGAATGCAGACCCATTTCACTTAACAAACTGGTTTTCAAGATACCAGTAAAATTGTTTACTTTATAACTGCATGCAATAATAAAGATGCTTAAACTACTTTTCCTATTTTACAGATTTATGATCTTGCAAAAAACTACTAGGTCGACTCAACATTAAGTAGTTCAGACTGTACAGTACGTCTAATTCAAATACAATACATGTTGTATCGCCTGGGATCATGCAAATTTTAGAGTGAGGTGTTTTAAAAATTGTGAAAATACGTTCTTAGAAGCTCGATGACCCTAACAGATTATTTTAGAGAAGAGACTATCAAAAATTTAAGAGGATGGAAATGTCTATTTTTTTGGTTCACTTATAACAAAATAGTTGTAACTAGTTTCCTAGATTTACGAAATACAAACCTTTCTCATACTTTTTCCAAGTCCTAGACATAAAAAGTTCAAAGCTTGAAATTTGTTTTTAAAACTTACTTAATATGGTGTTTGCCAAACCTGAAGAACTGTCGCGTCAAGAGTCCATCTTTAAAATCAAAGAGAAGAGTAGTTAATTCAATTGTACTTTTATTGCTATAGTTTATACAGTATTATAATGATTATTATTAAAGAGACTGTAAAAGAAAAATGAAAGGGGTCAGGGGGTATAGGATAAAACCTGAGAGCTCATGAGTTGATCAAAACCTGTAAGAAATCTATATGATGTTCCTGTCTCGAGAAATTGACAAAAAACTGTGTCAAAATTATACCAAAACTCATATATGTAAGATAAACGTCCGTGTCACGTGACCAGAACTCCCTCCAATAGCAATGCAGTATACTGGTCACGTGATACAGACGGAGACACGTGACAATAATACTGTACTGCCATTAGTTGGAGTTCTGGTCCCATGATCCGGACGTGTAAATAAAAATTATCAATTATATCTTTTAGAAATGAAAAATTATTAAATTCAAATAATAACAGGAGCAAACCTTAGTTTCAGATTGGTACGTATTTGTTGAATATGATCTGTTTAATACTACAAATCTTTTACAAAACCTTACATATATACGTTTTTTTTCGTATAATTTCTCGAGACAGGACCATCTGACAAAACTTTTATAGGTCTCAATCAACTCCTGAGATTCTCAGGTTTCATCCTGTACCCCCTTTCTATTTTTCCTTTACAGTCCCTTTAACTATGATTATTTTAATTCACAATCCACAGATTTTACTACAACTGTTGCAATTTTTCTTTCTTCTTGTCACTAAGCCTTGGTGCAATAAAGTTTAAACAAGCTGCTGCAAAGCATAACAGTGCAAGAACCTAAATTAAAATTAATGAATTGAGTCCTGCCACAAACTGTTCATTATGTTCTCATCCCCATATTTTTGTAAACTTTAGATACTGGGTTTCCAATAAACATGGGAAATGAGTGAGGATTTCGATATTGTCTTTTTAAATAATTCTTTGATTTATTGATCCGTAGGATTTTCCTCTGCTTTTGATTTGACTGCACATATACGGTTGTACTAATTCATCCTTTCATTCATATTTGTATTCAACTACAAATCATGAGATATTACAAATAAGCAATCACAATTTACTATTCAGTTTGGACCCGCCTAACCAGGGTTAGTTGTTTTGAAAGAAGAACATTACAGAGTACAGACAAAGTAAACATGTCCGTCTTCATTATTCATCTTGCAGATAGATTACAGACACAAAATTGCAGCCATTTACCGTTTGCATAAAATTAACTCTAGCAGACATAATTCGATTATGTCTTTTAAAATCAGGAGGTATTACATTGCTAAATCTTAACAAAGACGATCTCGAATTCATCACTCAATACCCATGTTATTGGGACACCTTGTATTTCAACCTATGGTTTCTCTTAGATCAAGTAATCTAAGTTTGAAATATCTAAGGTTTACAACATCAGGTTGCAAACTTATAGAGATAAGAAAATTTGATTTTGATGGCTAAGACTCAACTTCTTTTGAAAAATTGAAAAAAATATTTTAGAATTTTAGGTTAACAGTAATTTGAATAATTCAAAATAGATTCTATGTAAAAAACATTGTTTATAGATTTTAACAGTCCATAGCAAAGACAAGTTCTTGCTTGGCAATTGTAAAAACAAATCCTGCAATATCTAATTAGTTGAGAACATTAAGTTTGAAGTGTAGCGTTATGAATTATAATACTTTTATAAATGTAAGTTCATCAATATAAGTATACATTTGTTTGAATATACCTGAAACGTGGTGAAACTACCGCAATATCCTAAACAATACGTTATTTAAGATTACTGAATCAATAGAAAATTCAAGATTTGATTCTTAAAGAAAAGCTGAAAATGTAAAATTCACTTAAAATGTGTCTCTGCAAAATTGTGAACATTTTAAAGCAAAACTTGTACAAATTCTTATCCTTTGTCTGAGGGTTTCCAAAATGCTATGAATTGTTTGTATTCAATTTTGTCAGAACACGTACGGGGGGAGGACATTTAGTGTTGAAGTCTTGCTTTTAAACTTTGAGCTGTTACGTTACGTTGAGTGTGGTAATGAGTTTAGCGAGTGGAAGTTACGCTGAGTGTGGTAATGAGTCCAGCGAGTGGAAGTTACGTTGAGTGTGGTAATGAGTGCACCGAGTGGAAGTTACGTTGAGTGTGGTAATGAGTCCAGCGAGTGGAAGTTACGTTGAGTGTTGTAATGAGTCCAGAGAGTGGAAGTTACGTTGAGTTTGGTAATGAGTCCAGCGAGTGGAAGTTCCGTTGAGTGTGGTAATGAGTCCAGCGAGTGGAAGTTATGTTGAGTGTGGTAATGAGTCCAGAGAGTGGAAGTTACGTTGAGTTTGGTAATGAGTCCAGCGAGTGGAAGTTCCGTTGAGTGTGGTAATGAGTCCAGCGAGTGGAAGTTACGTTGAGTGTGATAATGAGTCCAGCGAGTGGAAGTCTTGAGCTTAAAGAGTATTATTTCGTAAAATATTAAGAAAAATCCGCCAACACTTGAAAATGATTTAAATTGCCCATCCTTCAGAGCAACAGTAAAAAAGCTAAAAAGGGGGCTTAGAATCCACGGGCAACGTCGGGCATTTTTAGAAAATTTGTAATGTTGTAAATCGTGTTGGGTCTTTAAACACAAAAACTATAAAACTTCCAAGAATTCAAAACTGTATTATGTTAAATGTTTGCTTTTATCAAACTTTGCCATATCTTTATTATAAACATAGTCTAAAATCTAAAATCAATAACTGACGCGGCTCGCCCTACAATATGATTATACATGTATTACAGACAGTACTTCATCTGAATAAGAAATGTTTGTCTGATTTACAATTATACCGTGTATACAATAACCTATTCTCAATATCTCAAATCAAATCAAATCAAATCAAATCATTTATTAGGCCACAAGTTAACAATATTCATATTAATAAAAATGACAATACAATTACATATATATATACAACTGAAGTACCGTCTGCATAGCATGTGTAATCATATGGTAGGGCGGGCCGCGTCATTTGTCGCCCTTCTATTTCAAACTCCTTGGTTACAACAGGTTTGTTTTTGGATTGTTTTTAGGTCGTGACTCGTGACTGAATGTACATAATCACTAGGTTTCTCACCTATTGCTAAACCACCAGCAATACTTCCCATTCCTTTAGCCAGGCCGAAATAGGCAGAACCAAACAAACTCTAGAAAGAAAAAAGATGTTAAAGTAACGTAGGTTTGAAAATCTTTTCGTGAATTTTACCAGAACCTTGGAACATATTTAGAGTTGTTTGAAAACTGTAATTGTGTGCAAGTTTTATATTCAAAAACAAATTTATTATTGTGATACAAATATGGAAATGTTTTTTGTGAACATTTTTTAACCCACATAAGATTAATTATATTGTAACCACAATCAACCTAGCATAGAATATTTATTGACTGGGGTTCTACATAGAATGTGAATCCTTCCCAAACCTTGTGTACAGTGTACACAGTATATTCAAACTATGGAAAATTACCATTGTTAATCCTCTGAGCAGATAATATTCAACTATTGTTCTTTTATTGGTGCATGATTTGATAGCTATTAGGATATTGATTACCTCCTTTTTGTGGGATACCTTTCTGTAGTTGACATTATCAAAATTACTGGGGGGATACCTTTCTGTAGTTGACATTATCAAAATTACTGGGGGGATACCTTTCTGTAGTTGACATTATCAAAATTACTGGGGGATACCTTTCTGTAGTTGACATTATCAAAATTACTGGGGGATACCTTTCTGTAGTTGACATTAACAAAATTACCTGAAAAATTGCAATATCTTGAATCTGAATAAAGTGTTGCATGAAGAATCCCGTTGTCAACATCATTAAAGGGTTTCCCAAGGGCTTCAGACTTTCTGAAATAAATTTAGAATTTCATTATTGAGGTTTAAAAATGCTAATCCATGTTTTTGGGGTCACCCTGTGTAATTGGATTTTTTTTTTTGAGGAAACCCAAAATTCTTTTTTTTTATTCGAGATTTTTTTTAAGTTCCACGGGCAACACCGGGCAATTTAGCTAGATGTGTTTAAAAATTGACTTTGATTGCCTAAAGGGACTGAAAGTGAAGACGCATTTACTTTCAGATTTTGAAATGGATTATCCGATACACAACAATGATCAAGAATGAATGAGACATTTGTCAAAGTAGATTTTTTTAAATTGTGGTTTTTCAATATAACGGACTTGTAAGAAAAATGTCAGTATTCAACACAACAAGAAAATTACTATATCTTCTGCATTATTACTCAAACAAAGCTTTAAACAGTCCTGTTGTGAATCGGACATCACGTTTAAAGCCCATTCAGGTATATGTCACTCATTTCCTGCACAGTCATTCATAAATTCAGGTATATGTCACTCATTACCAGCCCAGTCATTTATACATTCAGGTATATATCACTCATTTCCAGTCCAGTCATTCATTCATTCAGGCATATGTCACTCATTTCCAGCCCAGTCATTCATATATTTAGATATATTTCACTCATTTCCAGCCCAGTCATTCATACATTCAGGTATAAGTCACTCATTTCCAGTCCAGTCATTCATACATTCAGGTATATATCACTCATTTCCAGACCAGTCATTCATACATTCAGGAATATGTCACTCATTTCCAGCCCAGACATCATACATTCAGGTATATGTCGCTCATTACCAGCCCAGTCATTCATATATTTAGATATATTTCACTCATTTCCAGCCCAGTCATTCATACATTCAGGTATAAGTCACTCATTTCCAGTCCAGTCATTCATACATTCAGGTATATATCACTCATTTCCAGACCAGTCATTCATACATTCAGGAATATGTCACTCATTTCCAGCCCAGACATCATACATTCAGGTATATGTCGCTCATTACCAGCCCAGTCATTCATACATTCAGGTATATGCCACTCATTACCAGCCCAGTCATTTTTACATTCAGGTATATATCACTCATTTTCAGTCCAGTCATACATACATTCAGGTATATGTCACTCATTTCCAGCCCAGTCATTCATACATTCAGGTATATTTCACTCATTTCCAGCCCAGCCATTCATACATTCAGATATATGTCACTCATTTCCAATCCAGTCATTCATACATTCAGGTATATGTCACTCATTACCAGCCCAGTCATTTTTACATTCAGTTTTATGTCACTCATTTACAGTCCAGTCATTCATACATTCAGGTATATGTCACTCATTTCCAGCCCAGTCATTCATACATTTAGGTATATGTCACTCATTACCAGCCCAGTCATTTATACATTCAGGCATATGTCACTCATTTCCAGCCCAGTCATTTATACATTCAGGTATAGTCACTCATTTCCAGCCCAGTCATTCATACATTCAGGTATATGTCACTCATTTCCAGCCCAGTCATTCATACATTCATCCTTATGTCACTCATTTCAAGCTCAGTCATTCATACATTCAGGTATATGTCATTCATTTCGTGCACAGCCATTCAAGCATTCAGGTCTATGTCACTCATTTCCTGTCCAGTCATTCATACATTCGTTCTTATTAAGAAAACCGATCTTAGTACCTTACCTAGGGCTAGAAGGGTATAGTTATTAACCTAGTAGAGCTAGAAGGGTATATTCACCTAGTAGAGCTATAAGGGTATATTCACTTAGTAGAGCTAGAAGGGTATATTCACCTAGTAGAGCTAGAAGGGTATAGTTATTCACCTAGTAGAGCTAGAAGGGTATAGTTGTTCTGCCCAATCCAGGTGTATCCAATTAGACGTAAACTGTAGGACACTATACTCATGGACATATAATGTTTCAAACATACTTGTATTACTAGACCTGATTTTAGATTTGTCGAATTCTCACGCAAAAATCGATGGTACAATAATAATAATAATGATAATAATAAAAATAATAATAATAATAATGATAATAACAATAACAATAACAACAACAACAATAAAAAACAATTAATAATAAAAATTATAATTATAATAATAAGTTATATGTGTTCCTAAAGCTAATGATATTCCTGCCTGCCAACCAAACTTTGTTAGGAACCTGGACGAGCAGATTGACATTAATATTCCTAAACAGTTTAATATTATTTAAAATATTATTAGGAAACATACGCTTTAGGAGTCCTAATGTGTAAATATGTTCTAAGGAAAGTGTGTAAGGAACAAAGAAAAGATAAACTAATGTATTCCTAAAAATTATTTAAAATCATAGAAAATTTCATTTCAGAAAAGTATTTTATTTTAAAATGTGTTAGAAACCTTCGAAGCTGATATAAATTTGAATTCCTAAATGATATTTGAAACTGTATAATATTTATTGTTGTAGTTTTTATGGATCTAGTCAAATTTGGGACTTGAGTTCCCGATGTGTTTCAAAATTGTATACAGCATGGAATTCTGCTATTAGAATTATTTTTAATGTACCTGGGTACTTGATTGAAAGTATTTCACAATGTTTACATGTAAAAACTATGTTAGCTAGCAGATGTGTGCCTTTCTATGAGACTATAAAAGCAAGTTTTAAGCTTTGCATTAGATTTCTTTCGAATTTATGTAAAAACTAGCCTTCGCGCCCATCTTCAAAATTAATTGCGAACATGTTCTCTTTGTGCACAACTAAAAATCGCGGATTTTCACAAAAAATTTCGTGGATTTTCAAAATTTTCAAAAATTCAATGAAGACCGAATTTTGATGGAGACAAATATTTGAAATTTTGATCATTCATAAACCTTCCCTGTGGTCACGTGATGTCCCACAAAAAAATTGGGCCCGATCGGTTCAGCCGTTTTGACGTTTATTGGATACAAACAAACAAACAGACACCCAGACAGACAAGCCAAATTTATATATAGATGACCTTAACACAGTTCTTGGCAGAAATTTATTTTCTATTGCAAATGATAGTTCTGTAAATCCTTCGGATCTTAGTAAAATATTAGTTAAGAAACAAATAAAATATGTGTATGTCCCATTGGAACATGAATGGAAAGTTCCGGTTTTACAAGATCTTTTAAATACAAGAATGAATAATTTATATGTTGAAGGATTCGATGATTACGTAATAACTGAAATGATAAATATGTTATGTAATGAGTATTGATCAAATTTTAAAGGGACTGTACGCGTAGTTTCAAATGATCTGATCTGATTAATATCAGCTTTGCCTGGAGGGTCACTTGAAATTACGTAGTTAGTTCCATTAAACCTTCATGACCAAATTTCAAATTTGATTCCACGAAAAATGGTTTTATTTCTACTTTTGATTAAAAAATATTAACATTATGGTTCGTTAAAACCCCCATTTCAAGTCGTGATTACTGTACAGTCCCTTTAACATAAATAGTAATGTAAATGTACAGACCTATAAATGTGCTGAACACCAATGATTGCCCAAGATCCTGTCTAGTAAATCCGACCGTCTCTAAAAACAACAAGACGGTTTTTAATTAAACATTTCAGTATTGTAAAATAGTAATGCGTAATATATATGCATATTATGGTATCCCAAAACAGACATTTTTAGGTGCGTCATTTATTCCCGTTCCTTTTGGTCTTCTGAAGATCTCAATCATGAAAAAGAAAACTAAATTTGACCATTAAATAAGCAAAATTGTGTCAAAAAACGTAGTAAAACCCGGTGAAAGACAATCGACATGGACACAGCGTGTAACTAAATGCAAAACCTTGTTACAGAAAAGCTTCATACTGTTTAAGTATCTGTATGACTAGAGACCGAATTTAAAGAATTTGAGCGGCGGCTTAAATTTAAGCCGCTGCTCAAATGGTTGGTTTCACTTAAAAATGGTATTCAATGTTTCAAGATTTAAGCCGGCGCTCAATTGAAACCAATTTTTGGCGGATTTAAGATGCGGCTCAAATTCATTAAATTCGGACATAGGCCTACATAATTGCATGAATGGTAGTTAACACCAAGTGGTCAGGAACGGTCGTAATAAAAAATTGCATTGCTATCCTGTACTTTGTATAGACTTGCTCTAGTATAGAATTCCAATAATAAAACAAATAAAATCAAGCTGATTAAAATTAGCAAATCTACTTGAACCAATTATTTGTTTCAGAGACACTTGCAAAGATTTTAAAAGATTAATTCAACTGCATGTTTGTTACCATTCGATATGTTTCTATTTGTATTTCCTGAATCCCTCATTAACATACATTGAATATGCAAAAAGTAACACCTTCATTGAGAGCAGTTGATAATTTGAATTCTTAACCATCGTTGGTGCAGATTAATCCATGAAATTCTTAAGCTTGTAAATGTTTTTTTTCTTTCAGTTTTTATAATGATCTTTATTTTTTTTGTGATGGACCATACAAGTTGTTTTATCAAATGGATTTTATGTGCGCTCTAAGTGAATTAATGTAAAAATAGTGAATTTTATACATTGTAGAGAGTGAAATCACATTTTTCATCAATGAAAAGGATTTTACTATAGCTAAGAGGACCTTAATGAACTGTAAGTGAAAAAAATAAAAGATGATAAGAAGAAAATGTGATTTTGTATCTTTCATAAATTGTGTTTATTATATATTTGTAAAAAATTCATTAAAATAAAATCATATTCTTTTTTTAAGAAGATTTTTTTCCTCAAGAAACTATGTTTTGCAACAAACTTAAATTTTTCTAATTCCTATCATTGCAACCCAAGGTGTAAACTTTTGATATTTCAAACTTAGATTATCTGATACATGACATTGAGCTGCAAAGATATAGGGTTTAACAATCAAAGTTTTCTGTAGAGTTTCCAGTTTTTTCTGAATCAATCTGGAATCTGGATTCTGGAATCTGGAATCTGGAAAGTTGAATCTGGATCCGAAAAGGCCTGACGATACCTTTTTTGAAGCTGCTAATGAATAAAAACACAAGAAAAGAACTTTTGGATATTAAGGGTGGAACTTTTCTTAACAGAATTAACAATAAATCCACTTCCTAGATCGTGGTGTGAATGTGATATGTTGAACAAAGTTCAGATGACGATTATTCCAGATAAATTCCATAGGAAAATTCGTATTTTTTTATAATGTCTGTGTTCATCTGAGGGGTGTATATATTTTCTAAATCGATCAAGAAACCTGACGCCCTTTATTTTCCAAAGTTTAGTTATGGTTATCAATTTCAGGGAAGGAATAATTGGACTTTTTGTCAAGTACTATTTTGATGTGACAGGATGGATGTTCCTAAAATATACCTAGATGAATAAAGATGAATGTTTCAGTAAAACTCCATGTTGCTCCCAGGATAAGAGAGAGAAGGAGGAACGTCTGGCTAGTTTTCTCTTCTGTCAGAAAGTTCCAATATCGTCTTCTGTTTATTAAAAACTTCAAATTAGTCTTTACTCA